CCGCTCAGAAAGTGAATACATGTTCTGCTTGGTTTCTCTTTCAGCACTGCTGTTGTTGGGCAGCATTTTACATTTTTGCTTATTGTGGTTTAGTGGTTGAAATCCAACCACTTAACTGCTAAAATTTGAGATTTGTTGCTCCCCTTCCAACGTCCACCAAGGTTTGAGCTCGTGCTACCCGTAGGCCATAGGACTTGAGGGAGAGAGATGCCGCCCTTGCATTCAGGTTGGCGGTGCTGGCAGCGGCCCGGGCCTTGCTTGTTTTGGATCTTTGTGGCTGCGCCACATCTCTAGACCACGGTTTCTTTGTTGCATTTTGCCAAGGGATGTTAGGACTTTAACTGTTTGCCAACGTTTTCTGTGAAACCACTAAAAGACATGGCTGTGGGTCAAAACTAAACAACCAGGGGACCGCAGATTTTAGTTCATAGTTCCATTTACCCAGGTTGAATTTTGGGTACCCATTTTTGACCTGCAGTTTCGATGCGCGTTGTTGTGGATTTCACGCGTTCTTCCCCCTGTAGGTTCTTGCTTTGTGCTGTTTTAGTGGTGTGGTTCCACACAAGCCACATCCAACCGTTTTCTAGAACACATGTTGCTTATGTCCAGAGTAGTTTAGATCCAGGATATTTCTGACTTGAACAGCTTAGTTTGTCGCAACATGCTGACTCGCCTTCTAATTTGTGTTGGAAGGGACTTAAAAGGAAGCAATTCATTTGAAGGGCCCCTATTTAATTGAGAAACACCGAACCAGCCCCTGCTTTGCATATCCAGTGCGGGCAACTTTGCCTTGTCAGCTTCTTGTCCGACTTTCCTAAACCGCGAATTGAATTGAAACCACATATCTAAGTCTAAGGGCTTCTGTATCACAACCTGGGATTGCAAAAGGAGGCAAACGACTCATCTACAGTTGCACAAGGGTCAAGGGGTGCCATAGAGTGAAATGACTAGAGTAGCACGGGTTCCCTTTAGGCTTGAGCAGCACGTCCAAAGGTGTGTCCGTTCCCCCGGCCCGGTTTTGAGGCACCCTGTTCGGAGGGTTGAAGTTGCGTTTCGGTTTCTTCCCCCGGAACCAACCAGAAGTCCTGTTCCAACTCTACTCGCCCGAAAGAATCGCACCTTTGACCCCGGAAGCCAGCCATAGGCCGTTGAGCGTTGCAGGCAGCAAGGTGAGGATCGATGTGTTGGGCCCCTTGCATCCTTTGGCTTCTTTGGCCTTTGCCGACCAAAAGCAACCCGACCCGTAGCTTGGCAGGCCCTACGTCCAGCTCGTCAATAGCACACGCAAGTAAAATCAGATACTGCAGTTTGTGCCCTGCGTTGTGAGCAGGGCACCTAGACTAGTTGCTGACGGGCATAATTCCTGGTCTACGTTTGCATGTAGTGGGAAATGCCGGCCTTTATACATAATCACATACACATACAATAAATATATATATATATAATATGATAGAACATGTTAGAAGGTGGACCAGGCCTACAACTGGCCGAATCGAACAGGGTGATGAAGACCCATCATCAAAGGCCAATCAACTTGAAGAGCAGAAGCTTTTGCGCCATTCCAAAGGCCCTGCACCGTAAGGCTGCTGGGCTGCTTTTCTGGTTCTTGCAAGGCAGTGTGTTCGCTGCGGCTTTGCGGTGGCCAATAGACACATGGAGAGAATTCCTCCATTGTTTGCGGGGTTTGTACTATTGGGGGAAACTCCTTGAAGGCGGCTACTTGTGAAACTTTTCCAGAGAAAGTGTAGTAAGATATGTGTTGTTTCCGGACTTCTCACTTTTCATGCTTCAGTATTGTCATGCCTTGGCCAGATTGTCGGCAATGGCTTTGGGATTTCAAACTTGTTGTTTGGTTTGAGATTTCTTGCTTCTTGAATCGGGGGAGGGGTTGTGGAAAGTGCCAAAACCGATAATTGGCATCGAGCAGAATGAAACTCCGATGACTGTTCTCAGAAGGATCTACAAGATGCAGATGGCCTATTCGTTGAGGCACGCAGACCTTAGCATCTCTCTGTTTCAGCGAGAGCTAGCAGCAAAAAACTAAGTATTGATACCTTGATCACATTTGTGCCCGCGCATTTTGACACGGACGCCAGAAGGGTTTCATCGCTGAAAGGCTTCGTGGAGCAGCCGCCTCGCACTCTCACATTTGATTCCGATGCAGCGGCTACCAATCAAACTGCCTACCCAGTGCAGCACACAATTGCAACGCTTGTCGCAAATGCAAAAGCATTCAAAAAAGGGCAGCCACACCTAAATCACGCAAAACGCTCTATGAGGGAAGGCACTTGGAGTGTCGCATCAACTTGGCGAGGCGAGTGTTGCCGATGATTTTGAAGAAGCGATGGATGCGGGCTTTGTCACAGAAGACAGGGCAGATTCATCAGCAAATCGGCTTGGAAACAGGGAGTCAGGGGATGGAGTACTACCTATACTAGAGACCTGGAATCAGGGATGTGCAGCTCTAGCATCTGGATTTGCGATCTAACATGAACCTCTGACCATTTGACATTATTCTAGATCATCCAGCATATGCAAAAGTTAAACTTTTTGCTGGGGGATCTACAGCACCCAAGCTATGGATCCTTTTCTTGGAGCTTAGTTGATGGCTAAGGCATGTTCCTGGCCTATTTCCGCACAGAGCCCGCGCCTGAGAGATTGAATCCTTTCGGCCGGTTGGCTATGTCCACCTCGTCGGGTTAGGGGCCTCCTCGGACGGAATCAATGGGACGCACTCAGCCCAAACGGCTGTGGTATTCAAAACCAATGGTATTATTTTGGGGTAGGTGCACCACACATTTTAGAACCTATTTTAGTGGGGATTGGGATGTTCACTGGGGGTACGGGATTTTGACCCATGGCCAAACCTCTTGAGCAGCTTTTGTCATCCCTTATGTTGCGGTATCTTCCAAACGAAAAGCTTTTGGCAAACCTCACTGACACCGAAAGCGTGTTGATTGCTTTGCATTGAGACCGAGGATCAGGCATGCAACTGTCTATGTGAGCGCGAAGCTTTACGACGTGTACGACATCTTGGTCGGCGGCCTGGGGGTTTGCGTATGCCTGCGCTAAGGTTCGAACGCAGTTTGCTCTGCCTCCTATGGCACCTGAAGAAGTTTTGTTTCAGATATCCTTCCACAGGTGCAATCTTGGTGGATGCAAGATCCTATATTGTTCAAGCAAACCGGGTTTCGCTTCGCAACCCCAAGAAGGCTCCCCCCCGACAGTCGGCCGACAGTCTTGAGGTGGTGCGACCCGCGAACGCCGTGAAGGCCAGCTGCCTTTGGCCGAAATGTCAGTCGCGAGGCACGCTGTCCTTGATGAGTTTGGCTTCAGATAGGGCGATTTGCCCGAAGTGGGGAGCTCCTTTTTGGGTTTTCCTTCTTGGTTTGTCTCTCATATGTTTCGCTGTCAAACAACCACCCGAAGGGAAATGTTTGCTATAGAACCACTTTCTTTTGGCCACTGTGTGAAGGAGGCTCTCCCCATTTCCCCTTGATCCCAAACTTCAAGAAGCCAAGCTCTCCCTGAGGCGGCGAATCGCAAGGTGCGCCACGGGGTGAAGACGTCGGCGGACTACACCAAGGACAAAGCCCAGCACCCGGATCCTTCAAAGCGGTGCGTGTCTCTCGTTTTAAGGCTACTTGTTGGGTGGTTTACAGGGAAACTAAAAGGACACCCGCCTGTTTTTGTTGGTTTTTCCAGGGCGTTTTTGCAAGTGGAGGTGCATTGTGATTACTTTGCGATTCAGATTTCACATTGTGCAAGGAGTTGCGCTTGTTGATCAAAATAATCCAAAACAACATGTGAAAGATCACGGAGAGTTGAGGCGCTCAGCAATTCAAAAACCTGAAGATGGCGGTTTGGGCTGAAACAGATGTCCTTGCAGATGGTTGCAGCTCCACAAGTTTCTGTTTGTCAAAACAAGCCTGCCGTGGCAGGCACATTGCTCATTCTCAGGAGCTCATATGATGGTTGTGGACAACTTGGTTTCAGGGTGCTTGTATTTGCTTTGATACCAAGGGCATCCGCTTAGAATGACAATGTAGTCACAGGAATGGCCCGCAGGATTGCTTCCCACAAATTTTACATGCAACACAGGCATGCCAGGGGCCATGGTTTTGCGCGGAGCTTGGTCAGCTGAAGTGCCCGCAATGCTGCCAGGGAAAAAATGGCATCTTCAGTGAGCAAGACCAGGGGTTCCGTTTTTGGACAAACGGGTTTAAGGGGTAAAAACGGAAACCCTAGAGGAGCTCCCCTAACATGTTTGCCCAGGGTTCCGTTTTTGGACAACCCCAAGCTAGACTGGTGACACCCTGGGAATTTGACCCATCCAGAAAGAGTTTCGGGCAAATGACTGTCGCTCAAAATTAACGAGCTAGGGTTACGCAGGTTTTAGTCTTTGGTTCCATTTGCCAAGGGGGGCATTTTGGTAAATTTATTTGAGCCCCAGCCAAATCTCCGCTTTCCGCAGCTTTGTGGCTTTGGCCTTCCACCGATGGGGACGCGTTTCTCCTTGGAAGGTTCAGAGGACAAGGACACCAATGGAAACTCCCAGCCATTTAGCAGGGGCCCCCCTTGGTAGAGACAACACATACTGAGCAACGGACAGTATGACTCATAAAGCGGTTTTGGGTGGGCCTTTATTGGTTGTGGAGGTTTGTGGGTATCGGATTTGAGCGTGCCCCCTATGGGTTTGTAGTGGTAATATCGCGGTTGCTTCTGGAATGAACTTCCCCTGAGACCCATCACTGAAATTATTCAACTGCCGGGCCGCCGACACGGCCAACTGGGATCTCCGTGACACTGAAATGTTCGGATTTCCCTTATGAGGCCTTTCACTGCGATTAAGAACTCGTCTATGGAAACTATAGCTAAGCTTAGCCTCTGTCCTTACCTTGCGTTGCGACAATTGAGGGTGTTTTGCTCCAGAGCATGGCATTTAAGTCAGGTTCAAGGGGAATTCCCAGATAGAGCCCAACGCACCTCGGCAAGTTTCCGCCCCTTTACCGCCAAATCCGCCGTCGGACGCGCCATCTCCTGCTGGTTTCCGCGATGGCTGAGCATCTCGGCCGATTGGAACTGGTCAGTCGGTTTTATGAGTCTCTGGATGATGGATGTAGTTTTGTTAAAGCTGATTGAAATTCCCCTAGGCTCGAACATTGCAGTGTCAGTGTCGATCTTGCACAGTTGGCGCAGGTGGATGGTACTATAGTGGATGGGCCTAAGCACCATGCAGCTGTCGATGGTAATTACTAACTGTCAAAGGATCGTCTGGATGGTTTAGGTGTTTGAAACTCTTTGTACTCGTCGACTCATCAAGGCAGCATAGTCTGATTTGGCTTATGAGAGGCAGATGCACAGATCCTGTATGGAGCGTCGGAACCTTATGCGAAGAGGGACGGGTACAGGTACTTACAGTTCCAGTCCCGGTTTCATCCGGGAGCTGAACCATTCCGATTGCTTTGTTCGAGTTTGAAGGATGCTGTCAAGTTATATATGTGTCCTGATCTTTCTCTTGAATTCTCGGCCAGAATCCGAGAAATGTTTCGCTGCACGGAGTCTACAGGAGCAATGTCTGTTGCTTTGAGTGCTGGAAACATTGGCAGCAGTCTTTGATGTGGCGCTCAAGTCGGTCGTGTCAGGTTTACTGGCGTTTGGAAAGAAATGACTCCCACCGTGCGTTGAGTGTAAGATCTAAAGGAGCCATGGATTCGGGATTTTCAATTTTGAGACTTGCTGGAGGGAAGCGTGTTGGGTCAGTGTTCCACATGCTTCTGCTTTTTAGTGGTTGTAGACATCAACTGTTGGGTCTAGTTAAAGTGAGTTCCTTGTAGCAGGTTGATCTTCAACCTGTTCAACGGGCAATTTTGTTTTGGAGCCAGGGAAGACTTCCTTGGGAAGGGCGAAGCTTGCAGACAAGTGGAGATGTTGTGAAGTGTCCTTGCCTGGAATCCATATGGATTCCTTGGCGGACTTGCCCCCAGGTGTATTCTTGGGACAGTTTGTGTTAGAAGCTTTAGTCCATCACGTGTGAGCACATGTGTTCACTTCACCACATGGAACGGCCTAGCACTACTCATACATGGAACGGCCTGGCACTACTCATGAGCAGTCGCTATTACATTAGTATTCATTGTCAGCGAACTCTGCTGTGCGCTGCTTGACTGCCATTGGGTTGGATCTTTAGACTTTAACTTTTTGGGAAATACGGGTTTTCACACTTAAGCTTTTGCAGGGGGGGGTCAGCAGCAACCAAGGCTGGGTGTCAAAACTAATAAGCACATGAAGATGCCAAGGTTAATTGCCAGGAACGCTGCTTTGCTCATTCCATCAACCAACTGACTGAGTTTGATATGATGCTTTACTTGATGAGAACCTTCTGTTGCGCTCAGAGGAAGGCTTCCCAGATTTGCTCCATGATAACTTTGGCGCAATTTGCTTGGATGTGAGGACTTGAACTTTTTGCCAACTAGGGGGTTTCCATTAAACCGCTAAAAGTTAAAACACTTTTAGCAAGGGAGCAGAAAGCAACCGAGACAAGTCGGCGCGCCTTACTTTTTTGTCCTCAGTTGGCAAGTGATGCGTTGAACCGTTGAGCGTGGAATGTGCCAGGCTGGCTGGCGCATCTCGATGGCTGTGCAGTGCTTCCCCTCGTTGGCGCTTCTGGTGGCATGTTGCCCTGATACCTCAGCGCCTCGGTCGCAGGAAACGCGGCCCGCAGGGTTCAGAGCGATTGCCCGATGCCTTGAACGCGAAATGAATGAGTGGAAAGGGATCGGTCCACGAACATGGAACCCAGGGTCACCAGAGGGTCCCATTTTAAGGGGAAGCATGGCGTTCCACCCCTTGAAGCTTGTTTGGGGCTCCCCTATTTTGAGACACCCCCAATAAACCTTCAACCAGGTAAGACCGAATTGGAACACGAGCTGGGGCCCTGTCCCCGGGCTGGGAACAAGAATCGGGGTCCATTTATGGCGCCCTACTTGAGCAAGATGCGCAAGCTAGCCTTCAGTGGCTGGCAGCTGGCCCAAAAACTGACCGATCAGTTTTGTTGACTGAATCCATTCCACATGATTCGTTCTCCTTGCCATTCAAACGGACCAGGTTCACGTCACACCCAATGTGGGTGTTTCGTACAGCATGGCGTGCCGCTGTCCTTGTCATCTCCAACTTCACTAGGTCCAACACGCCAAAAGTCCGCTTGCCCCCTTTAATTGGCACCGGGGCATGAATGGACGGCACAGCAGAAATCCAACGAAACGGCTCACTTTCATTGACACCCCCTTAGGATGGAACAACGACAAAACCACAAACAAAGTCAAGACCAATACCGCTCCTTTACTCGCAGAGTCGATAAAGTGTGTTTCTTGCTCTTCTGCCGAGCTATGACATTGCAATAGGGCCGTGTTACAGGTGGGCGTTTGTTGGGCTTCTCATGATCAGATCAAGAATAATTTTCGCCGCCACAAGACGAGGTGTCGACACATTGCGCCAGCCCATTTCCGCCAACTGGAAAAAGCAGGAGCAAATCAAACATCCAAACCGAAGAGGCGACCCAGATCATCAATCACCCAACTAGCCAACCCAAATTTGGTTTCCCTTAGGTTCCAGACCTCAAATCAGGTCTTGGGCTGCCATGGGCCCCCCAGCAAAAAAGGACCGGGCACGGAAAACAACAAGCAACATAGCCCAGAAAAGCCAGCAAAATCCGCAAGCAAAACCCACCTAGGTGGTGTCGCCGGAGGTGCACGGGTGTCCCGAGGAGTTTCTGGCCATGCGTGCCTCTGTCGGAAAGGAACCACCCCCCCCTTCCGTTTTGGTTTGGTAAAGGGAAACTGAAAGGACAACCGCCCAACATTGGGGGGGCGTCGGATTTTTAATATGCGTGTGCTCATATTTTTCTCAGGTAAAAGAAGGGTACCCCTTTTAAAGTTGGTTTAAAGGAACCCAAAGGAAACCCATGAAGTTTTTCAAGATGGGCGGAATCCAAACATGATCAGCTTCTCTTTGGTGTTCCTTCAAACATGAACATGGTACCCTCAAAAGCAAACTGATACACACACACACACACACCACAAACACACACACACACAAGGGATGCCTGTGTTTACCAACCAGCCGACAGCAAAGATATTTGAACATTCAATCGGGCATGCAAGCAACTGGCAAGATTACTGGTACTGTCTATTATAAGTTTTGTACGGTGACCACGGTCAGTATTCAACTGCATGGGCAAAAAATCTGAACGAGCTGAGTACAGGTCCAAAGCGGTGGCTAGGAAGGGTTGGTATTTGAGGGAAGGATGTTGGAAGAATGACGGGGTCGGTGTCCAAACAGATGGAGGGTTGGTATCTACCGGAAGCATGGACTTGATATTTACTACGCATGTTATGCTTGAAGCCCATGTATGAGCAAACGTATCCACCGCAACGATTGCACACGAGCGACTCAGATGTGATTCACCATGCAACTGCTGCGAGCATATGCAATGCTGCCACCTGCTTTCGGAGACTACGCCATCACCAATCTCAATTGTATTCCAAGGCTATAACCCCCTGTGAAGGCATGTTCCTCCCTTTTCTCACCTTTGTTTACCTCTTCTCACATTTCCCAACCACCCAAACCAACCCAAACCAACCCAACCAACCCCCTTGTACCCAATGAACCACCCAACCCCCAACCCACCCTTTTACCCTTGCCCCCCTGCGCTCGCTCCCAGGTGGCTGCTGCCAGCCAGAGATCACCAGCACGGTGCTCAAGGCCCTGGGCACCTTGGCGCCGGAGGACACCCAGCCGCCACGTCGCCGAGCCGCCGAGCCGCCGAGTCGGGTGGGGGGGGTGGGGGGTGGGGTGGGTCAGAGGCTCCAGCGGTTGGGGGGTGTGGGGTGCGGGGTGCGGGATTGGTGGTGTGTCTTTCAGGTACCCTCCCATGGTTGGACCCCCTTTTCGGGTTGTTTGCCGAAAGAGAGGTGGTCAGAGGGTCTTAGTGGGTTGCGTGTTTTCAGGTGGCAACCCTTAGTGGTGTTCACCTTGTGTGTGTGTGTGTGTCTTTGAGGTTGGACCTCCCATTGGTTTTCACCTGGGGTCTGTGTTTTTTGCGTTGGACCTGGTTTCCCTTGAACCTTCCAAAAGGCGTCAGAAAAGACACCCATGTAAAGGATGAAAAAGGGTCGCTGGGTCAACAAGATGGAATTATGTCATTAGGGGGGGGTGGGAACCGGAAGGATCCCTTAGGATAACACACACGGGATAGTTTCTGTCGGGGGCGATTTTCCCTCATTCCCTGAGAACCAGCAAGAATTCCCCGCATTGGTGGCACCCCAAGGGTTGCGCACCCCCCCCAAGTTTTTTGGACATCAGGTACTGACAAAGGTGGGTTCCCAGTTTCAACAGCACATGTCCTCCTATAAAATGGGGGCTGACGTCGGCCCTCTATGTAAACATTGGAACTGGGTGTTGCAGGTAGCCTCTGGAGAGGCTGCAGTGTTGCAGGCCTGGATGTCAACTTCAAGTTTATCCCCTGGGACTATTAGTCAGGAGCGGTTCTCCATTCATTTTGGGGGTGACTCCTTGGAGTTGTGTGTTTGTGTGGGGTTTATTCGAAGTGGACAAGATCTACAACTTGTCACCCATCCCCTGCTTGCAGGAGATGGCCTACGCCCTGCCCAGCGAAGGCAATCTAGGCACACAGCGGCGGCGACGGCCTCGCGACAAACAACACGTGCCGAGCAGTTTCAACCGGGCGTGACTCTTTTTGGCATTTGTTGTGGCATTGTTTTTTGGCCGCCATAAAAGAGAAACGACTTAGTTTCGCAGCTCCCATCTGGAGACAGGCCATTGATGTTTCCTCCGGGCCTTGCCGTTTGAAATAACATGTTGCCCGCTGGGGTGCCACGTTTGGATACTGGGAAGCCACGTGCGAGCTCCAGGCCTCTCGACGGATTTCTGATTAAAGCGAGCGCAGGTGGCTACCGCGATGGCTTGCTCGCTATTCACTCGCTGATGAGGACCTTTCTCCTGGACTCAGCCGCTTGGCCGATTGGCCAATCGGCCAATCTCGGACCTGCCTATGTTTGCTGATTTGTTTGGAGGGTTTGGAAGGGTAGGGGTTTGGAGGGGTTGGACGTCGAGCACAAACCAGCTAGCCTCGTTTTGGAATTGAGGTGAATTCAGAATAAGGAAAGGTACACGTGAATTGCTCATCTACCAGCATGTAAATTGAAGATGCAACTAGAAAATGATCATAGAGTAATTGTGCATTGCACTGCACTGCATTGCATCCTAGTGCTTGTGCTGTTTGTTTCGCTTGGCTTCCGCGTGATTGCTGTTTGAGGACCTTTTGCGCACATCGTTATGGACCAGGCATGTGTGTGTTTGTGGGTTTGTGTGTTTGTGTGTTTGTGTGTTTGTGTGTTTGTGTGTTTGTGTGTTTGTGTGTTTGTGTGTTTGTGTGTGTGTGCGCGTGCTGTTGTGATGATTCCTTTTTTGGATTGTAGCGGGAAACCAAAGGAATGCCATATTTAGTTTGTTTCTCAAAATCGTGGCCTTCTCACGCCTGGGTCAAGGCAGGCTGAACACAAAGCGGACAGGGGAGTGGCGGGTTTTCTATCCCCAGCAGCGTGTCCTCAGAGCCCTCCGCGCTTCTCGGACTTTGCGCGCCTTTCGTCCGAACAGACTGCTGAAGCCTTGACGGCAAAGGTCGCCCTGGGCAGGGGGAACCCCTAAAAATGGCCCGTGTTCTCCTTTTGTTTGGCAAACGGGGGAACCCCCAAAAAGGAACCCCGGCAGAAAACATGGCCGTTTTCTCCATTTTTGTTTTCCCTTAAAACCTCTATTGCCCTGGGCAAATAGGGGAATCTGCCAGGCTCAAAGGGCAGCTTCATGGGCCAGGGGTCTTCTCCTTTAGTTGTCCCTTAAATCCCAGGCACACACCAACAGGTTTTCTCCTTGTCCCTTAAAACCCAGGCGCAAAGTCTCCTTTTGTTTGGCCCAAGGGGAACCCCGGCAGAAAAAGATCGGCCGTTTTCTCTTCCTCTTTTCTGTTTTTCCTAAGACCATCTTTCCCCCTGGGCAAAGAGGGGAATCCCCGAAACGCTCCACGGGCAGCTTCAAAAGACACCCACCGACCCATCTGAGGACCTGCTGAAGCTTGAGGCCTGGAGGCTCTACAGCCTCGCTGGAGCCTCGCTGCTCCGGCCCTTCTCCGCGCGACTTCCGCGGCGGAATTTTTGAGATTGGGCCCACCTGGACTCCTGCCAGGGAATTTTCAAAGGGACTGCAAGTACACCAAAATGAGAGGAATCGCGCTATCTACTTTCACTACAACTGTTCTTGGGTGGAACCTCTTGCCACAGGAGATCTTCTATGGGAGCTTTGAGAAGGCTTGTGTTTGACGAGCACGCGCAAAACCTTCTTGAAAGACCCCGCGCAGTCATTTCAGGAAATCCCGCACAGAAACAAGGGACCATCTGCTGCGGCTACTTTCTTGTTCCCTGCGTGGGTTCCTGTCTCACCATGTCACAATGTTCTCTGTCAGCTTTTGACCACTGTGGGGCCGCTTGCCGGAATAAATTTTCAACTTCACCTGCTGGTGCATGTTTTAAACACCACCCGTTGAGAGTGCATGTCAAACAGTGACACGTGAGGGACTGCGAGCAAGGTTAACAGCCAGCACTTGTCATGGCGAGCTCACCTGGGATCAAACGAGCTTGGATCTGATGACGAAAATCCACTTCAGTGTGAAACAATGTAATATGGGATCCAACCTCGGTTGAGTGGATCAGCTGGAGTCGCTGTGCTCTCAGAGCCAGTCTCAAGTTCAAGCCACATGTAGCAGGGGCTTTTGGAGAGAACTTGATTAGTAGGATACTGACTTATGATTGTGGATGGTTGTATTGGTATGTTCGCACAAAGGACCTTTCCTGGCATGTAGTCGCGCCACTTTGCTTGAGGGAAGCACCCTTGGCCGTGTTTCTCTGAACGGCTCATTTCTTGCTGGCTTTGAAAGGAAATATTTTTGACAACCACCACATCGTGCCCTACATCCAGGTCAGCTCGTTTCGATCGAGGCCTACGCACGGCTGGCCATCATGTCAGCCTGGCGCTCAGGAGACGTGGGACTTTCCAAAGGGACTCCCAACAGGCACGGGGAGGGTACCCGGAAGATCAATTTTCTTCAGCACTGACTTTCTGCCTCATGTTTGTGGGAGGCTTGTCCTTGGAAGGCGAGCTGATTGATGTCTTTTTGTTCTTTCCGCTGAGGCAGGGGGGCGGGGTTTGTTTAAGACTGCCTCGTGAGGGTTGCTATTTTCTGTTTTTGACGGTACCCATTTAGGGTTGATGTGAAGATAAAACCTGCTAGTTTGGGGGGTGCGCATTTTAAGATACAGGGTTAGAGGAATGCCCTACGTGAAAGATTCGTGTGGACTTCTTCACCAAGCAGCTGGCAAAAGGGCGATGGCGCTTCGAGCGAAGATGTTGGGCCCCAAATGAGTCCATTTTGAAATGAATCTCGATTGTGACGGCAAAGTTCTCTGTTTTGACACATCGTATCAAACACAAAAGAAAGAGAGGCCCCTTTTAGAACATAGCATCTTGTGTGTCACGCTAGGTGAGCCAACTTTGTTGAAGGTTAGTAGCTTAGGTGCCCAGTGGCAGTCACTTGTTTGGTGTCCAAAGCCATGTGCTGTTTTCCCCATTGGGCTTCTGAAGTATGGGTCATGCCGCATCAATCTAGCGACCTCAGAAAGGGAGTTTGCGACCTCCTTCATAAAGGTTCCTTTCTTTGAGGATCCCTTACTTTGGGACAAGTGATACAAAAGGGCGCTGTATGTGTGTGTCAAACCCAGGAACCGTTTTGTTTTGGGGTTTCACTATGAAGCCACTTCGAAGTGTCCCTCCCTGCAGACAGCTTGCCTGGTTGTGGGGGTTAATTCCCTAGATATTGCAAGTAGGCTACCAGGAAACCCTGTAGTTCACCATGCCTTGTGCGCAAGTTTTAGGTATCAACCATACCTGAGCCACAATCAAAGCCCGGGTAGATGAAGGTTAGTAAGGGGCAATCCCGGCCGAAAGTAGCTGCGGATATCCGCCTTCTTAATTCTTTGCATGGTTCTGGGTACCCTCCAACTAACATGGCAACTGACAGGGGCTCCCTTCAAAAACAGGTGCCATGTTAGTTGGAGGAAGGGTAAACCATGTTACTACCGGGTTTTGATTGTGACTCACCTCCATTGACTTAGGTGGACTCCATCAAGGACCGCTATGTGGACATGCAGAAGGTTCAGGACGAAAGCGCGACGAGCAGAGTTGCGGCCCGTGGCCTTTTTTGCCTGACGGTTTGTTGGGTGCTTTGCCCCCCCTTCCCCGCGGGGTTTCTGTCATGATATGTTGTTTTTTCTTCATGTTCCCCCTTCCCCGCAGGGTTTCGTATGTCAGAATATCTTATTCAACATTCAATGGTCGTGGTCGTTTGAGACTTACGACGCATTGGGAATTTAATTCCCCCTCTTGAATTGTGTGTCCCCTGCCTCTTTGAAACCGGCAAATGAAGGGATGGCTATTTGTACCACCAAATCAGCACAAGCCAATGAGCAACTGGATCGTTTCCAAGCGTTGTGCTCTACCGATGCTGCCTAGTGCTCGACAAAAACCGAGCGTCATTCAGAGCTAGCTCTATGGAGCGAGGGGCAGACCTTGTAAGTGGCTTGTGACGCCACTGTGGGGACACGGGATGGGCACAAAATTAAACCACCCGGAATTGGAACGCTGGTTTTAGTCTTTGGTTCCATTTTGCAGGGCAACCCATGTTGGGTACCGATTTTTGACCCACAGCCACTTGAAATGACGACAAGTAATACAAGGGGCTGAACCATTGCTGATATGTTGCTCCTGTGATGACTTTGATTGGTTTTACAGCACCCCCACAATTCCAGTCTGGTTTTCTTTGGCCATTCATTCTACTATAGGTTATGCCCATCATGGTTTTCGTACAGTTGCTAAACCACCCAGAGCCGCTTTCTGACCGCTCAGTCAGAAGCCCATGGCCTCCTTCAGGGTAGGGTAAGGGCTCATGATGGCAGCTCTTTGCTCGGGAATTTCTGTGTTTCTTTTCCTGTTTTAATTATTGTGATTGGCGCGGACATATGAAACGCTGGTATGAGCACCCACAAATTGCGGCTCATGGGAAACCAGTACCAAAGGGCCCCAAACGTTGCAATGGGTGTACGTGTCATGGACTTAGCTTTAAATCCGTAGAAGCTCTGCCACCCCCCAGAGAAGCTCCCAAGAATACGTTTGAGGACAGATGAAGAGGCACATCCTAGCCCGGTTGGGTCTGCTCTTGGGAAATCCCAATGGTTTCCGGTCTCTCGCTTCTCTTTCAGCACATTTCAGCACGAGCCACGAAGGGTGTTCCCAATTCAAAAGGAATCTCCCCGGTCTCCCCCGAACCCTTTTGTCCTTTGTTTTCTTCCGGCTACTCTTCTTTTAAATGCTCCTCGACTTGGTTTCACTTTCTTTCAGCGCCATCCCAAAGGGCGCATCTTGAAATCCCTTCACCAACCAGACTTGGTGCCCTTGCCACCTTCTTAACCCCATCCCAAAGCTGTCATTTTTGTCAGATGGTCCTTTCCCCATGCTAGAAGAGAGTCGTTTCCCAAACCGCGCCTTCAAGTCCAGAAAGGAAGCCCTTCCCTTGCAACCACCTTTTTCAATTCTCCCCTTTGGATGTTGCTTTTGCAAGCCTCGCTAAATTTCCATGTTCTTAGTCGAACATCGTGTCTTGGGCCATCTTTGAAGTGCCAAAAACGGACCCCTTTTGCCAAAAAACACATTTTGTTTGGACCTTTTCTGGACCTCCTTTGGACCCCCTTGGACCCCCTTTACACCCCCTTAGACCTCCTTTAGTGCGTGTCTAAAGGGGGCCACCGTGGCCATTTTGGACCACCCACGCTGATGTCGCGAGGACTCCCAGCTGCTGCTTCGGGAGGCGACGGCCTGCAGCCGGGCTCTGGGCAAAGCCTTGCCGGGGACGAAGACGACTCGACGACTCGACGACTTGACTTGGCCGTCGGCTTGAAGCTGAGGGTTCATCGTGGTTGTTGTTGGGAAACATGGTTTTCATCTTTGCTTGTTGTGGTTTAGTCGGAAATCTGCACTTCACTGCTAAGACTTTGCTAAGATTTAAAGTTTGCCCTGTGGTTTAGTGGTTGAAATCCCCACTTAACTGCTAAAACGTAGTTGTTTGCTCCCCTCTGCCAGCGTCAACCAAGTCATGGACTTTGGTCACTGTTTGGGTTTGGACCATTTTGGTGGCCAACATTTTTTGTTTGTTTCATGGACTTTCGTCACGTTTTGGGTTTGCACCATTTTTAGTGGCCAAAAAGTTTGGATTTGATCTCGGGCCAGCCTCGCTCGGAAGTGAGCACACGTTGGTGTTTAGTTATCCGGTTCCCGAGGCGTTTCAGATCCTTTTTAGGTGGTTTCGTGGTTGGGTGTCCGAATTTGACCCACTAAACTATATGCTTTTAGCGGGAGATCTGAGGACAGATGAGATTGCAGAGTCCCTTTCAGGCAACGTATGGTTAGCCCAGTCGTAGCATTACACTGCATGTTCAACGTTGAATGGCCATTTCCTGTTGTGTCATGGAATAGTTTAACATGTATCATGATGTACCAGCAGCATATCGGACTGGTCATTGTTGGGGGAGTATCAGGATCCATTCACCCCATTTTGCGCTACCCCCAAGCCCCCTCATTTGACGAAGGGGCAGCAGTCCCGCAATCCTAGGGGCGCCAGTACCTCAACCTCAGAGTTGTCTTTTGGACTTGAGTTTCTCTTTGGGGTTCGCTTCAGGGGGACATTTAAGAAAAACGGCCTCCCACAAAAGGTGTCGTAAAGCCAATGGATGCAACCGGGAGGGTAAAGGGGAGGAGGGAGGAGGGTGCAACAACGTTTCGTGGTTGAAACCGCCTTCAGCAGAATTCGGTGGCTTGATAAATAGGGTTGATTGCTTGGTTCTTGAGTAGAATGACATTACTTCCAACATGGTGGGTCTCCATACGGCTAGGGTGCCAGGATGCGGTTGCCAGTTGGTACCCACGGCTGGGCAGCTGAGCTTGACCCATGCGCCTTTCGTTTGTTTGGTGTTGATTTTTTGGTTGGGAAGGGGAAATGCAGAGTCCACTCCTGCAAACAACTCCCAGTAGATGTCCTAGTGGCAAGACTAGCCCTAGATGACCGTTATGGGACGACTGGATGGCGGTTGCATTTGTGACTCTTGTAGTTGGCTCTGACCAGACAAGTCGCACAATGTTAGGTTCAGATTGGAGAACTTCCACGTCTTTCTACTTGGGCACACCGCCGCAGCCAGAAGAACCAGGATGCAGGACTCGCTTCCGGGTGCATTTCCCCTTGGGAGGTGCTTTGACCCATTTTGACCTCGAAACCAGCCAAGGGTACGTGGAGCTTCTGGGGTGACCTGCCCTGTTCCTAAAGGTTTCTCATTCTGTTTAACCATCGTGTTGTTTCTTGCAAACAACCCGTTTCCTTTGTGTTTGATGGTTTGAAACGCCGGATCCTTACTGACTTGAAAAGCAAAGTATGAAGGGCTAAATACTTAAAGATGTTCCTCCTCTGATCATGTCTTGTTTTGCTTTTAACATACCCAACAACCCCCCTAAACATTTGGGTGTGTGTTTGTTGCGGCTACTTTGTTTGGGACAACAACCAGCAAACTCATTATTTTCGTGGGTCCGGACCCGGACAACAAAAAGCCAAGCCACCCCACATGCGAATTCGAATTCGTGTGGTCGCCGCACGACGTTCGATCGGAGCTTCGAGGACTTGCACAGCTCGGAGATCGCCGAGGCGTTTCAGCCGGCGCTGGAGCTCTATGAGGCGATCGAAACGTAGACGCGACGTAAACGCGACGTAAACGCAATAGGTCGCGAGACGTCTTTGTCGTTGCTCGACGAAGGCGTGTGGTCGTTTTGGGAGGTACCAGATGTATTTTTAAAGAAAATCAGATACCAGTTGATAAGCCAATTGCCTTGATTTTGAGTTGGGGTTGGTCGACATTTCAGAGGCAATCCTAGACGGCACGCATCACCTGTTCATCCACTAGGTTGATAAATCCGGGCACGACAGTAATCGCAACCAAGAGGAAACCAGCCATTTGAGCAGGGTCATTTTGAGATATACCCAATGTTAGAGATCTTGTGCCATGCAGATTGCGCTACTGTCACGTGCATTGCCAATGGGAGTTGAGGTTGAGTGATTCCTATGGCACTGAAGCGAGGTGCAGATCATGCTTATGGGCACGTTCCTTGTGGCGGACCCTTTGGATGGATGCCAAAGCGAACCCACCTGCCCTGCGAAATTGTGTGACAAACCCATGTTGATGTTGTGTCCGATTCGTCATTTGCATCTTATGCACCAATTAAGATGGAACCTGACAGGGAGTTCCTTTAAAGGGAACATGGTCTTCCAGGACCCACCTGTCAGTGACCTGTCAGGTTCCAGTTGATTGATGGGAGGGTACATTGCCTGACTTTCCCTGAGAAAAGTCAGCTTTCCCCTTATCGGTGGTTTTGTTTGGTGGCTTGGACGTTGGGGGCTACCTTCCCCTATTTCAACAGGAACTGGGATTCGAATCCCAAACCACCAATCCAACCCACCGATTAAATGATAGCTGAAAAAGGTGGCACACGGAGCGTCCCGCAAGCCCGCTCAGCTCGGCATGAACTCCTTCGACCTTTTGGCCGGAAGCTTAGCGGTTTAGAGGCTCAGGGGCTCAGGCGCTGAGGGAGGGGCCTTTGGACCAAATTGCCCCTTGTTCAAACAGGTGACAGGTGCCCTCACATTCAACCTTTTGGACTCATATACACATCTCCTTTCGATAAAATGAGTTGCCTTTTGGAAAGGTAAAACTTGTGAAGGGCACTGTCGACAATGTCTGTTGGAATCTCCGCTGTCCCGGCGAACCTTGCTTACGTGGGCGGCTGGACTACTATCACTTTGTTTGTGAGTATGTATTGAGTATCTTAAACCCGGAGTGCCCGGTGTGGTCGGTATTTATTTACGGAGAAGCTGACAACGCGAAGCTCTGCAACTTTGGGAAACTCGCAAATGCTGAGGCGGTAAGACAGGAGTCGTGATGAAGAGGATACCCTTCGGTACAAAAACGCTGCAGAGTCCTACCGAAGCCCGGTGTGCGACATTGTTCCCAAGCCAGATTTCAGAATCGCACGCAAACCTGGACGTTGCTTCGGGTGGTTGCCGGTGGAATATTTGGCCATCAGCAAAAAGTCCGGTACCCGCCAAGGAGGTAACGTGCGAGTGCTTAGGCTCCTATAAGAGCCTTACGAAAGGGTGCATGGCGTACCTGTTTGTGCAAACCAAACGAAGGCAACCGCGACACCCTGGTATTAGAGAGCACGAGGTTCTATCAGTGGGTTGCGCGCGCGGTCGTGTGTTTGGGCAGTCACAGGTAGAATTCCAGAAATAAGAACGTGCTGCAAGTGCAATTAAAGACTGCCGAGGTAGACAGCATTGTCCATGAGAGAACACCCACCCACCCGCCCACCTACCCACCCCATCCTACGGGTACTGCACTGGAAGATGCGTGCAATGGACAATCGTGGCAACGTATCCTTTGCAGAGCACCAGTAGTATGTCAGGCCATGCGGCAGTACAAGTGATCAGATTTCTTTGATCGGGGTCAGCAGAGTTTGGCAACTCGACGTTAGGCGAGCATCTCCGCCAAACCTTTTGTAATACTTCAGGTATGGGCTGGTTGTTGTTTGCTTGCTTGTTTTTCTTTGGTTTGTTTGCTTTCCCTGTTGAACAGACTGTTTGTTTTTGCTTGTTTGCTTGATTGGTGTTTTGACTTTTGGTTTGTTTGCTTTGCTTGGTGAACAAACTGTTTAGGACACAGCACGCGAGAGTTGGTTCCCCAGGCATACAGCATCATCCCGAACTTGGAAGCGATGAGTCGCGATCCAACAGGCCCGTGTGCGCGATGTGTAAAGCTGGCGATGCTTGCGCGTGTGTTTGTGTGTGCGTGTGGGCTGGCGCGTCTTGTTTGATTGTTTGTTGGCTTATTGGCTTGTTTGGTTGGTTGGTTGGTTGTTTGGTTGGTTGGTTGGTTGGTTGGCTGGCTGGTGGTTGCTTGCTTGCTTGCTTGCTTGCTTGCTTGCTTGCTTGCTTGCTTGCTTGCTTGCTTGCTTGCTTGCTTGCTTGCTTGATTGCTTGCCTTCTTGCCTGCTTGGTTGCTTGATTGCGTGGTTGCTTGGTTGATTGGTTGCTTGCTTGGTTTTGTTATGTTTGCGTGTTTTGCTTGTTGAACAAACTGTTTTGTTTGTTTGCTTGATTGTTGTTTTGCCTTTGTACTGTTTTGTTTGTTTGTCCGCCTGGCTGTCTTTCTGTTTGTCTGTCTGTCTGTCTTTCTATTTGTCTGTCTATCTGTCTGCCTGTCTGTCTGTCTCTCTTTCTCTCTGTCTGCATGTCTGTCTGCTTCTCTGTTTCTGGTTTCTGTTCTTTTCTTTGTTTCTGTCTCTTTGAATCCAATTACCCCAAAGGAATCTGTGGGTAAGTCTTTGGCCCCTTACTTTTTTGCATCGGTTCGGTCAGGTGCGGGATTCTCCCTGCGGGAGGGCGCCAAGCTGAACCGGAGCGCCGGGGTCTCAGCGGCAAAACCGCCATGCGGCGATGCGGCCAGGCCCTGAGGCTGGGCCGTGGAGTGTGTCGTCTGCATGGCTCCCGGGTTGCCCCGGCTCCCTCAAAGCCGCGATGAAGCCAAAAGGATAGAAAGTTGGTATTAGTTCCTCTTTGTTACTCTTTTTCGTGTTGTTGTAAAGGGAGACCTGGAGACAAGCCCATTAGTTGCAAGCAACCAGACAAATGTCCCACTTCAATCCCAGCTGCATTTGGCGGGGTGGCGTGGACAGTCTTGGGCCCTGCAAATGTCTCAGGCATACAGTTGCTTCAATGGATTGAGCAACATGTTATCAATCCAAGAAAGCTGAAGTAGCCACGATTGGATTCACTTGACCATCATGTAGCCTTACAAAATCCGATCAAATCATTCGAGCATGTTTCCCATGTGAGAAGGAACCAATTGCTGGTGCTCAATGGGTGCACCCAGGAATCCCTTGGAAAATCGCCAAGGTGATTCCAACTGAATTCCCAAGTGTTAGAGGAAAGCAATACATGGACCCAGGGTTTGTGCCTGCATATCTATGCATATATGAATTTAGATTACATACCCGGTATACGCCTCACGTAAAGGTTGGTGACTAAATCCCCGCAACTACCGATTATACTCAGTTGGGATTTCTTGCTGCCTCAGTTTGACAGAGTGCTTTAAAAGGGACCTGAAAATGGGGGTTCCTTTGCTTGGTTGGCTTGCAACCTTTCTTTGGGCTATACAACCCAACTGAGAATGTCCCTTTTCAAGGTGCGCTTCAGTAAGTAGAGGGAGCCCATCTACTTTGCGGTTTCTAGATTTCGTGTAATGCATATAAAGACCAACTCAGCTCGATTGGTATTATACGTGTCATAGTACGTGGATATGTATGGCACTTTTCAGCAAAGGACGCCTAGGATCCCAACCCCCCCCCCGGTTGGTCCTGAAAAACCCGAAAGGTGACCAGACCGAGGCCGGTTCGCAGGAGGTCCAGCTGCTGGTAGTGAGCCTTGGAGCCTGGGCCAAAACAGGCCCGGTGGGCTAGGCGGCGCAGGTTTTCTTCCCCCCCCCCCCCACAGGGTAGCTGAGAACAACCTCGGGTATTAGCAGTTTGGAGATGGCGACTTTCTTTCTTTTTGGGCCGTTTTTGTTTTAGGGATGCCAAAAAAAGCCGCCTGTTCGGGCAAAAGCGGGCTTGGGCCCCAAAAGGAGAGTCCTCTCATGATGGTTTTCATGTTAAGGAGAGTATCCCCTCCATGTCCCTTTGTCTCGGGCCCGTGTCTGGTTGAAGGGGCAACGAAAACCTGCCCTGAGCTCATGGACGGTGTGTCGGACATGAGCTTGGCCAGGACCCCTCGAGGCTCATGTCAGGGGCGGTCTCAATTCACGGAAAAGTCCAGGGACACGAGAGGCTCGGCCCCTTGTCTTCCAAGAGGGTCCAGGATTGGAGGGTACGCCTTCCATGTGGGATTCTTGGCCACGAAGGCATCATATGGTTTTTGTTTGAGGGAACCCCGCCTGTGTGGCTTTTAACGGGAAGCCAGAGAAAAGCCGCCATATTGGGGGGAGGGTCCCCTAAAAAAAGGCATCCATAATATTAGGCTCAAAACCTTCTGTGCCGATTGTTGTTGACATTACTTCGCGGCCCAAATGAGATGTCTGAAATCAGCAGGAGCAATGTAGTGAGCGTGGGGCCATAGCTCGGGAAGCTCCATTGTCGGCCCTTTTGTTTCGTGAGTCTGCGTCATGCCAATGCCCGAAGCCAGCCCAAGCGTGGTGAGTAGCCTGGCAGTCTCACACCATCGAACAACGTTGTGATTATCGAGCCGATGGCAGGTTTCCTCACCATTTGGAGCGTCCTCCAACATCGCTCCACTCCTCTGCGGATCTTTGTGCTCGGCGATGCTCGGCTGCAACGAAGGCGTGTGGTGTTTGTCTTTCAAGAGCAATGTCAGTGCTTTGCCTTTGTTGCATGCCCTTGTGAGTAGAATCAACAGCCTTAGTTTGGCATCAGGAAGCCCGGCGCGCGCACGCACATGCGGGTGTGTGTGTGTGTGTGCGTGTGTGTGTGTGTGTGTGTGTGTGTGTGTTCATGATTGGGAAACTCTCACAGTCTCGCAGTCGAGTCAGTGCCCCCTCTGTCATACTGGTTTTGTTGATTGGGTACCAATCCTACATCCCCAGTAAAATTGTGGTCACCAAGCGGTCCCAGTCCCCAGTTGAAACTCACGCCCACATCAAGTCGAGCTACAGCCACGTGCTTGTGAAATGCACAGACTCGTTGATGTCCATTTTCAGTCACTTGACAGGCTCTTGCGGCAATCCGTGTTTTACCCAACGGTTGCTCATGTCGTCGATCTTCATTTCTGGACATTGTATTTGCCTGAACCTCAGGAATACGGTCAATCCTGCTATGTGTGGAGGAAGGAAGGGTCATTCTGGGCCACATTATAATGGGGGGAATCCTCAATTTTCAGGGTCATTATCAAGGGGCTTTATCAATTTTAATGGGGGGAACACTATATTTTGGTCATGTGGTTATCAATTTCAATGGGCAATTACAACCATGAAGCATTCCCCCCCATTAATAAGGATGGGTCATCAATATTAAGGAAGGCTGGTGAACATGATTTTTACTGAGGCGATTTATGTCCACCAGCCACTGTTCCATCGGTTTTGGTTTTCTTTTGAGGGGTTCCCAATTCGGGGGTGTCGTTTTTCAAGGGTACCTTCCCACCAACCAACATGGAAGTGCAAAAAGGCCAACTAACCAAGAGGAAAGTAGTCTTTTCTGGAGGGGTCTGTGCACAAAGCCATGTTAGCTGGTTTTTACTCGGAAACCAAAGGGCCGCCATGGATTTTGGGCCCAGGATGAGGATGGCCTGGGCCACTGGCGAGCCGCAGCTGAAGAGCTGCAAGCCCAGGACAGACTCAGCCGATTCGGGGCCGACTTGGTTTGGAGGATACACATTTTGTTTGTGTCCCATGTTGGGAACCGGTGTTTTTTGTTTTCTACTACCCCCGGCTCGGGGCTTAACCCTGGCTAGGAGGCTGGTTGGTTGGCTGGTTGGTTGGTTGGTTGGGTTGGTTGGTTGGTTGGGTTGGTTGGGTTGGTTGGTTGGTTGGGTTGGGTTGGCTGGGTTGGGTTGGGTTGGGTTGGGTTGGGTTGGGTTGGGTTGGGTTGGTTGGTTGGTTTGTTTGTTGGTTGGTTGGTTGGTTGGTTGGGTTGGGTTGGCTGGGTTGGGTTGGGTTGGGTTGGGTTGGGTTGGGTTGGGTTGGGTTGGGTTGGGTTGGGTTGGGTTGGTTGGTTTGTTTGTTGGTTGGTTGGTTGGTTGGTTGGTTTGTTTGTTTGTTGGTTGGTTGGTTGGTTGGTTGCGGGGATTGGTTGTGGAGTGGTTGTGGGGCGTTGCCCCAAACGACCAATCCTAGCCCAAAACTTGCATAACCACGTCCCTGAAGCCACCGAAAGCCACGCCTAAACCAGCCGCACTCCTAGCACAGATCAGCCCCAATCCAACCCAAACCGACCCAAAGTCAGCCTTAAACCCTCCCAACCGCATCTTGCGTGTCAGCCCTTTGCCAAGCCAAAATGAACCCCAAACCCAAGAACCCGCCCTCATTAGACCTCAGCAAGCCCAACACTCACCCCAAACCAGCCCCGAGCAACTCTGGACTGCCACCAAATCAAAGCCAGGCAGCCCTAGTCCGAGCGAGGCCAATGCGGGCGATGCTGCCGGCGAACAACTTTTACCCAATACGCAACCGGGGATGCAGGGGATGCGGCCGCCCAGCCGACCAACCAACCAACCAACCAACCCACCAACCAGCCAACCAGCCAGCCAACCAACCAACCAACCAACCAACCAACCTCTTTGGAGGGAGGCCGTGTGCCGAGCCGGGGCTAGTAAAAAGCCGGTGCTAGCAAAAAAAAACTCCTCAACCGCCATGTTGCCACATACTCCGTCTGGGCTACTTCCCAATTTAGGAACAAAACAAAGGGAGCCACCAATCCCCCACCGTGAATAGCCAAGGCTTGGCAATCCCACCCTCAATCAAACATGTTTGCGTATACTTCAGTCAGACAAGAGTTTGTGCTTCTTGGTTGTTTTGAAAGACACAACAGGGTCAGTCGCAAATCGAACTAACAAGTGCGTTTTGTGTGGCAAGCGTGGGACAGTCAATTATCACACCGGTTTCAACATAAGAATGAAAGGCTTCACGGGGTCCAAAATTGACCGCGCGCACCTTCGTAGGTCTCTTCCTGAAGGATTCTTGGGGGAAAGGGTTGTCGTCGCTTTGACCTTCAATAAGCGAAACTCTTGTCTGGCCAGTCTATGTCAAGTTGTCGCGTTGGACCCTGTGTTGATTCAGAGGAAACTAGCATGAAACCCACCATTTACTGAGTCCAATGTCTTAATACACTATAACTGTCCAATGCTTTCAGCTAACAGTACCGGTCACCAGTTGCCTAGACAGAGAAATAGCTGGTTACCTACTACAATGTTGACTGATCGCAAAGTCCCTATTGGCCATTTTAGTACGCGCGCCTACCCTATTTGGCCCATGGAGTTGAACTTGTTGTTATCACAAGTGTCACGGACGTGTGGCTACCGCATTCTCAGTCATAGAGCAACCTATACCAAACATCTGCCAGCTTAGCTTGCTGTAGTTGAGTGCGGCATGCAATTCCATGGCACATTGGGCTGTTGGCACGCAGGTCCGCGGACTCATTTCTCTCCGCCCTTTTGTGGGCGCTAGCATGACTTAGAGCTCAAAGCAGGTGGTGAAAAGCAAGCGGTTCCCACCACGTCCTCGTTCCAATTTCAGCCCGGAAGGTGGGCTCGTGATGCATTCCGGACCTGGAAAGGCGGACGGTGTCAGATATGGAATGCTGGAAGGTCAGCATCCGACAAAGGAAATGACATGTTTGAGATATGTACCAAACTGCGGGCAAGGTCAGGCAAGCAAAGACGCACTCGGTTTTCCTCCCAGATGCACAACTGCGTGTCGAAAACCAGGCAGTTGCAGAGTGCTCCATGAATGGATTTCTGCAAAGCGGCGGACGGCACGAGACACCCCCCCAAAAAAAAGGCGCGGCGTCAAATACGGCAGGCAAGCCTTTTAGTAGGTAGTTCTGCTATCTCGTCATAGTTCAGCAGCAACCAGCAGTCAATGGTTTTTGGGCAGTTTTGCTCAACTGGAATCACTGGGTTTGCTTACTGGCTAAGGCAGTTATTCTCCACGTGATGTATGCAGGAGCGCCGCATGCTGGACAGTTCCGGACCCAAGGGGTGCGGGGTGCGGTTACATGCTCCACAAGGCTCCCTGTGCGTGTGTGTTGTTGCGGCACATACCCAAATGGATGCGTCCGAAATCAACCTGCTTGCCTGGTGGTAAAACGAGCTCAGACTTGGATTCCTTATTGGATGCTTTGGCCAAAATGCACAAATTGCATAACACATGGTCACATGTTATCATGCAGTCTTTTTAAATTCAGCTTTCAAAGCGTTCGTCCGGATTGCCAAAGGGTAGCTGAGGCAAGAACCACTTGTGAGATAAGGGGCAGCTGGCAAGATCACTGCACACGATCAGAATACTGCAGCAAAGGCGCGGCAGCCCCTTTGGCCCAACATCAGAAGTTGTGTCACATGTGCTAAGGGCTAGTTCTCGCCTGAACCTTGAGATTGGGCCGTCAGGTTGAACATATGTCATATGCATGCTTATTCCGTGCATGCATGATGTGTTTTGTTGCAAGGCAATTCACTGTAAGCACTGATTGCAAATTGGACATTAAGCGCTACACAATTGCCGCAGTTGCCACATTCATTGTTCATATATGTGCTGCACCAACAACTGAGGCATGATGTGGAAGAATGAACGTTGCCTTGGCTGTTCAACTTGACTTGCCATGCCCGTGTTGGACTTTCTTGCCTGGCTTTAGCGTGTGACATGTGTTTGTTGTGCGAAGAATGCACAATGTGCCAGTTGCAGACTCATGCCTTGGACAAGGTTCTTTTCTCTAGAGCCCGCGACTGGGAGCTTGTGACCTCATGAAGGTTCTTGGATCGAGACATGGCACAGATGCAGTGAAGTATACTTCTCCTAGATCTTGGGGGCCTAAGGCGTCAGCTTCGTGTACATTGACTTTGAGAACCATCCCGCCTTCAGAGAGTACCTGGCGCAGTACCCCAAGGCCCCTGGCCTGTCGACACGGAAACTCATTGGGGGCAACACCTTCTATTGCGATCCTGTGGGCATCATTATTAATTATGGGCCATATGGGGATTTGCTTGCTTCCTGTTGTCCTGCTTGCTGGCTGCTACGACAGTCGGCTGGTTGGGTGCCCAGGTCTTGTTTTTTTTCCCCCATAACCGTTCAATGCTGTGCGGCAGAGCTGCACTGCCGTTTGTGCGGGCGACGATGTGTTGTCATAATTACACTCAATCCTTGCCTTATTTATTCCTAGGCAACGCGAATCCACTCAGGGGTATGTTGACCAGACACGTGGGCTCTATGATGCAGACCTTGCAATTGAACCCTTGTCCCAAAACACAACTTGGACAACGAAGCCAGGATATGAAAAAACCAACGGGTTTCAGAATTTCACCAGTTGCAGGTTTCTCAAGTCAAAGGTTAGACCCCTCTCCCCACCCTCAAATTCTAGGGTCTGATGCCGGCACGCCTTTTTTGGGTCTTTAAAAAGGCCTGCGCAGCTTGGTGAGGGAATCTGGGAAACCAAGCGAAACGCGGTGAATTTGTGCGGTTCCCTCATATCAAAAGGCGACCCCAAAGATGGCGGTGTTTTTTTTTAAGGGCCGTCGAATCGCAGAATCTGACAATATAACTTGCTGTGTACCCCAGATGTTGGCCGAAAAAGCAGGTTCCCTGAGGAGGACAGGCCCAATTTGACCACCGTCATCGGTTCTTTTGCAGCTTTCGCATGGTTCCTTCAGCCAGGGCTGCAGCTTCGGTGCTGCTGGCAAGGTCTGGTTCTCGGGAGGTGGAGGACATTAGGAAATCCAAAAGGTTCAATTTTCCCCCTGCAGACTTACATGTAACCTCACAACCCTCATGTTGGGGGACCCAATTTTGGGGCTCTGGAAAATATTTGCACGGGAGCAGAGGTTCAATAGAACATGAGCTCTTACCCAAATTAAACTAGGCTAAATACCCACCCTCCCACAATCATGGAAGCTTACGATCGGAGGGGTTTGAAAGGCTAGTACGCTTTTTGGGACCCCCGGAACCCACTTCCATGGTGGATGGAGAATACATTTTTTTGAGCTTCAGAGTCTTGTCACGGTTGATTTGCCACAGCTATTGTGAGTTTGGCCGTGGGGCAGGCTCAGCAAACAGGAAATGGTCACTTCATCACTGTTTTCTCTTCAAGACCAGCTATCATGTGGTACACACTTTGTCTCAGCACGCAAGACGTGTTTTGCTGGACTGGTTTGCATTTTCCTGCGCAGCAAGGGACAAAGACAAAGATAGCACGCGGCGGCTTGGTTCAGCCTGCTTTACTTTGTCAATAACAGTTTCCAGATATGAAAGGAGACCACTTGTGGTAGCGTGTAGTTGGGGAGCAAGAGATGATTCAAATGTTCTTCTCTTAGTTGGACGCGTGTTCACTTTCAGTTTGTTTTTTGTTTTCGGCCAATCACAAATTGCACTTTTGCACCTAGTTGAAGCCGGTTTCGGACAAGGCCGAAACCGAGCTCGTTGACATGCGGGGCAAAGCAATTGCCCATTATAGGGTGGTCCTCACATAGAGTTGGGTCCATGCATATGGATTTCAATGGATTCATGCACTTTGCAGGCTTGATTATCACAACTTTCAAGACCCAGGTTACAACTTTCGTACCATTCACAAAGAGGGGCCTTCTTAAGGTATTGGCAATCGCAAATCATACCGCCTACTTAAAAGGCAGGGTACTTAGTGGTTGGTAAGCCTGGTTACAACCCCCTTCGGAGACTTATATCTATGGCTTTTGTGGGTTATATCCATGGTCATTACCCACTTACTAAGTACAATGCCCCTTCAAGAAGTCAACGCCTCCATCCCCAGCAAGAGTCAACGGCCGGCCAGGCTGCTTATTGTTTTGCACAGCAGGCAGGAGTAGACACAAAAGCAAGACCGACACCCAGATCGAAGAGCAGTTCTTGGCCTTAGGTAAAACATAAGCTCCAACAAATCAATGATGACTTTTGTTGATCTCAAGGCAAGGCCAAGATCAATGGGCATTGCTTAGTAGGTGCGGAGATGCATCTCCGTCGCTTGTGTTCAGCTGTGAAGGCATTGTTCACCACTGGGTCACACACACGAAGCACACACAGGGAAAAGCTATACCATATGTTTGTAACAAACCTTGGCTCAGTCAGTCCTCAATCCATCTGTCTCAGACCAGGCCATCTTGGCGAGAGTGGTTTGCCACTTGGCCGGCTACTTATGCTGCCAAGTTCCTGCATGCATCATGTGTTGCAAGCATTGCATCACCTTTATACTACTTTGGTCGACGCTGCTAAGATGCTCTTGTGTTTGTAGTTTGCTGGACTTTGTGAGAAATCTGTTGCAAGAGCTCGGCTAAAAGAATGCAGTTGGTCACCTAGAGCCTTGTGCTGTCAAGATCTGCTAGGATGTTGCCTGGAGTTCCAAATGTTTCCAACTGGCGCGAGTTCCTATCGCTTGGGAATCTGAAATCCCCTTCATGATTGTTGCAGCTTCAGCAAATTATCATGGGGACGTACCATGAGGAATTGGAATCGGTAAACTGGATGCAGTCGCACCAAGCAAAAGCACAACCTCACCAGATTCATGTTGGTTGACGGAATATTTTTGGCACTGCCAAGATGTTCTCAGGCATGATCAATCTTTCATGACCACCACTTCACAAAGAACACAGAAAGATTATATATATATATATGTCCCAAGTAGCCAACTACCGCTTGCTTGGAACGCAATAGTGTTCGGCGCATCTGCCAGTCATGGCAACTTTCATCCAACGCCAACTGTGGGGAAAACCGAAAGCCCGCCACCCCTCAAAAAGGTCCCTTCCAAAGACACCGGGCTCATAGAGGGACCTTGGTAGTCACATGAGTAGTTGCTACTCCGGGCCGTCGGGGGCCCACAAGCTTCCGTGAGCTGCTTCGGGCGGACTCTGGACTTTGAAAGGTGCATGTGAGCGACTAGCACACAAGATCCATAGACTGGGGTGAATTTTGGAGAAATGAGGCTGAGTGTTCCAGAAGTCCAGTTGGTTGAGGCGAGCTGGATTTGGTGGAAAACTTGACAGACCGATTCCGACAGGGCGATGAATACGCTCGTGAAGCCTGGTCGACATGGCCCCTGAAACATCCATGGTTCCCGTTAGAACCACATCTATTTTCCAGAGTTTGGCTTTTTTGGAAGAGAAGGATCCCTGAAGAGAATGGAAAAGGAGGGTACAGCTAAAAGAGCAAGGTCCTGCCAGAGGAGGTGGCGCAGGTGATCTCCCTGGACCTGGGAGATCTATTGGTGCTGGAGGACATTTCGATGCTCGGAGCCGTTTTTTTTGACCGGGCGGTGGGGGAGGCGGAAGTCAGAAAGCTCCTGGGAGAAAGGATTAATTTGCAGATATTTGGAATTTCGGGGGTCAGAAAGGTTGTTTCCAACATTGGAGACCTCCAAGCAGTAAGCTTCCTTTTTTCTCTTGAACAGCGATTCCTCGGTTTCAGGACAGGCAAGCCGCCCCAGTGTTTGTCACTGAGGTTTGAGGTGCTGCTTCAACGAAACAGCCGGTTGCACCCCCATGGTGGGACTACACTCGCTTCCCTTGAAGATCCCTCCAAAGCTGGGTTCAATTCTTTGACACCGCAGCTGTTCTGCGGCGTTTCTGTTGGTGAGGCTGCATTGAGATAGTTGGTGACTTTTGCGGCGAATCTGGGCAAGAAAGTTGATTACAGGCCGGAAAAAAAGGGGGGGGGAACACAAAAACGGAGCCTTCTTATAAGGAGAGACTTAATGCTAGATGTTTCAGGAACATGATGTAACTGCAAGCAGTGTTTGCCTTCAAGAAGCCAAACCTGGAAGCGCAGATAGGGAGCGGAGGTCGGTATGTGTGTGTGCTTTTGTGTTTGATGTTTGGCATGCGCAGATGAGTGGGTAGGCCGGTAAGGACGCCTGGTAGGTTGGTGGATTGGGAAGATACATTTGGCCTTAGCAGGTTGGCAGGTTGAATTGGCAGGTTCGCATGTTGGTAGCTTGGCTCTGCCTTGCATCTGAGGAATCTTTGGCAACTCTTCCAGACCATGGAGGACGCTTGCTTTTGGTATGAGGGGTGAACCTTCAGCATTTGAGAAGCCTGAGCTGGAAAAGCATGCAGAACTCCAGCAACTGACAACACCATTGGTACGGCATATGGGGGACCCACCCCAAACAGCATAGACCCCAGATAGCACACCACGGCTACGAACCATGACGCAGCATCATAATGGTGCCCGCGGCATGATGATGATGTTGACAACATCTTGGCGATGTTGACAGCATCATGAAAATACCACAGCTACTCAGCATAGTGCGCTACATAGACGCGCTGACAACGTCCTAGTGAGTCCATCAGCGAAACGATGATGTTGACAGGGTGATGCTGCTACACCAGCCACGAACGATTCCGCGCTACATATCTAGCAGAAAAAAGGCAGAGACGACGTCCTGATGAGTTCGACAGCATCATGATGATGCGGACAGCATCATGATGATGCTCACAGCATCATGGTGATTGCAAAGGCAGCGTCCTGATGATACCACAGCCACGAATCATCTTGCGACACTGTAATGAAATTCAGTATCACCCGACGTTGACGAACCATTACGCGCGACAGTTAGAGCAGCAACAGCGTCCGAATCGGTTCAACAGCATCATGGTGCTGCTGACAGCATCATGATGCTGCGGCCAGCAATCATGATGACGCGACAACCACGATACCCCAAACAGCACCCGCCCTAGCACCCTGCGCAGCACCCGCACCGGACACGTCCCCGAGCACCCTGCCGTCACGTACTGTCACCAGCACCTGAACCGAACAGCACTCATTAGAAGTCTATGGTTTCCAGTTATCCGGGAAATACGCCCACGTGGTCAGCAGCACCTCCAACAGCAACACAATACAGCACCTGCACCACCACCCCAAACTGCATGCCCCCTAGCACCCGGCCGTCAGTTTCGCAAAGCGGCACCTCCACCAGCACCCGAAACTGCATGTCCCCCAGCACCCGGCCGTCAATCTCGCAAAACAGCACCTCCACCAACACTCCAAACCACATGCTCCCTATCTCGCAAAGCGGCACCTCCACCAGCGCCCGAAGCTGCATGCCCCCTAGCAACCCGCCTCGCAAAAGCGGCACCTAGACCAGCACCCGAAACTGCATGCCCTCTAGCACCCGGCCATCAATCTCGCAAAACAGCACCTCCACAAGCACCCCAAACTACATGACCCCTAGCACTTGGCCGTCAATCTCGCAAAACAGCACCTTCACCAACACCCCAAACTGCCTACACCCTCCCGGCCGTCAATCTCGCAAAGCGGCACCTCCACCAGCACTGGCAAAATGCATGCCACCTAGCACCCGGCCGTCAAGCTCGCAAAACAGCACCTTCACCAGCACCCCAAACTGCATGCCCCCCAGCACCCGGCCCTCAATCTCGCAAATCACTTTCCCTTCTTCATTAGAAGTTAGAACCCCTCTAGCTTTCAGCTATCTGGACAAGCAGAGGCACCAGCCAATTTTCCATTGTTTTGGCAACATGTGTAATTTGTCCGAGCTTTATGTTTGAAATTGCTCGTGTTTGTGGATACGTGTCGACATAGGGATCCCCAAAATCGTGGCTGTTTTTTGTGTTTTCTCGACGAGGGTACCAGGGTTCCCTCGAAACCGCACGGACCCATATACTCAGTGGTCCAAAAAGCCGACTTTCTGACCTTTAGGTGTGCCATTGCTGCTTCAGTCACACACTTTTCGGATATTTGTTTGATCCTTGGCGCGAGCTTAAGATCCTTTGACGCGGTGGCTGTCATGTCAGCTTTGCTGGTCAAAGTGTTCCGATTTGAGATGGCTTAAGCATCATCTTTGGGGCCGCTTTTACCAAGTCCCGGTGGGGATGCCCGGAGCATGCCAAGTCATTTGTTTCCAATGTCCGGGCTGCTCGTCAGCATCCAGGATTGTGCGTGACCTCCCAGTTTGGGCAAAAGGCCGAATGCTGTGAATTTTGATCAGGAGGAGGCAACATTAGCATTCTAGAACATGGCTGGTTCCCTGTTTCCCGGCACACACCAAAAAGGGAGTCCCCAAATTGTGGCAAACCCCCATTTAGGATTCCCAGAGCCACCTCGCATACGTGACACATGGGCTCACACTATCCGGATTGGCCGGACGCCAGGAGCACCACCTGTCAGAACCTTACACCGATGGGGCCGCCGCGGTGCGCGAGCCATGCCGGGCTGGGCAGAATATGGCACCATGGACCTTGGTGAAAACTGAGGTCCAAGCATTGCTTTTCAGCTGTGTTGATCCTTTTGTTTACCACATCCTGTGTTCAAAGGGATTTCGGAGATTGAAGGCTCCTCAAAAAACCTGACTGCATCGGGCCCTTCAAAATGAGACGCCATGCGTTGCCGTACGGATAGCGCAGTGCGAGAGGAAATGCTTTTCGAGTGCCAAGATCTTCAGTGGACTGGAAACCACCCACATGTCAAGCGTAGCCTTCCAGATGCTCTCTTGTTGCTTTCGCGCTCGTCCTAACGCAAATTGAGCATGTGTTTTATCATGTATTGGGAGTGTAAGCACTTACTTGCTGGTGCTCAGTAGGGAAGGTGGGAATGAACCCGTGGGATGGTTGTCCTCCGGGTCATTCCATTTCTTATTTAGTGCCTATCGCAGCAGCACGGTCTAGCCATGGTATGCCTTAAATGTATGATTAAGCCATGGTATGCAGCAAGGTTAAGCCAGGGTTAAGCCATGGTATTCCTTGTACAAGGCATGTATTCGCACCTTGGTGATGTTTAGACATTTCGACCATGTGATCCTTTTTGGCTCCAGTTTTTCTTGTTTGGCTCCTGTGTGCTTTTGAGCAAGTTTGCAGAGTGTCGTGCCGTCGTGCCCGTTCTGCGATCAGATAGAAGCACATGGCCCTTGTCACTTGAACAAAAGCAGCCTGGTGTTGCCACTTAGAGATCCGCCAACAGGAAAATGACGGTTCTTTTTTTGGGGGCCCACTAAGGTGGTGAATTTTGTTTTGGGTGTCCCTTTTAAAATCACAAAACAAATGGTTCCAAGGCACAGGAAAAAAAACCAACAGCATCTTCTCCCCGATAAGACCTTAGAACTCCAGGTCTTTGCCCGGCCTTGACGTCCAAGGTTGGCAGCGCCCCATGCGGTGGCGTTGAGCCACGTCAACGCCGGGGTGGTGCTTCTTGGCCCAGTCGGGCATGGGTCCAGGATATCGACAGCAGGTTTTAGTTTTTGCTTCCATTTACCAGGGCAACCCATTTTGGGGGTTACCCTGGTTTTGACCCACACCCAGTGACGTTTCCTTTCGTTGCCGGAACGAGGAGCCCGGCAACCAACATGTAAGTGGTTTGGAGGAATCCCTGGTTACGCAGAGATGGATTGAGATTGATGTAGATCTCGATTTACAGTCGCGTGAGTTTGGTGGGAATCAAGGAAATTCGTGTGAAGTTTGCCGAATACTTAGTGGAAAGAAAAGGGTGGGGTGCATAGATGGGGCCATATGGTACTTGTCACAGATGATACGAGGCTCAAAGCCTGACTCTGGTAAGGAATTTGGTCTTGGATGATGGCAGGAAGTAAGCCAAACGAAGACCAACCCGAAAGGAAACCATAGGAAACCAATCAGCCAAGACCACAAGGAAACAAGTCAAGCCCTCATTAACCCTCAAGCACCCAGACGGCGTTGGGGTTAGTTTCGCTGAGGCTGTACCACGTGGCGCGCATGCGCCGCCACGGCTTCGCCCAAGAGACCTTGCGCGCCGTGGCGGACATGCAGCGCAAGAACCACGACGCCAGCTGCCTGCGGGACTGGGGCTCAGCCCAAAGGGGGCAATGCAGACCAGCAGCAGCAACGGTCCCCAGTTTCTGCCGATGACACTTGGTACACTCACTACATTGAAAAGAGGAAATGGGTTGCACGCCAAGTATGTCAGAGGGGGACCTAATGAGTAGTGACAGTGATCATCATTAGAATGTGCGTGAAGAGGTCCACAGAATCTGAACAATAGAGGGGTTCAAAGAGCAGCCACAGGTGCGGGGCCAGTTTCATTTGCAGGACCAGTCGATCATCAATATTCTTCACTCCTTCAGGCCTGGTCGGATTGCACGGGCGAATGCACAGCTGGAATCATTGGTCCGAGCAAAAGGGTAGAGTTTTGCTCGATGATGCGCATTTGCATCCTTTATTTGGGTAAAGAGCAACAAACAGTAGTCACTCATGCGCTGGGGATGACATGGGGCTGCGGCATGCTACTATGAGAGCATGGTGCTTCCCAACGAGGTCCCAGTCAGAATGCAATGACTCAAATTGACCAGCAACCTTGACTCAGATCAAAGAAGTTTCGACATCGCCTTACACCTCACTCCGCCTTCTCCGACTTGGCAAGCGCTGCCCAGGGAGGAGTTTGGATATCCAGAGCCGAGCCCTGTGATGATTCTCCCCTGCAGATGGTCAGTGCCTGGCGCTCAGTTGACATTGACGGCTCAGTTCCACCGGGGATATTGTTTGTTATCTGGTGGATTTTGAACCTAATCTTCTTTTTTGGGGGCCATTTAAAGCGAGGTTCCTTTGTGATGTGTTGAGGGGAAATATAGGGACTCCCGTTTGAGGCATCTTAGGCGCCAATATTTTGTTTTTTTCGCCAGTCCCTTTGGTAACTAATCCTTCCGTCCTTTGGTGTCCTACACGTATTTATCCAAATCGGACTGTCTGATTCGAAAAGGCATTTCAAGGCTATCCTGTCTTTCGGTCATGTTCACAACAGAAGCCGCAGTTAGTCCATAGACCGGGCCTTTAAGCATGATCAAGGTTCGACTTGATTTTCCATTGCAGACCTCATTGTGTAAAGGGAATCTTCGCCTAGGTCACCTTGAGGAGCTCTGATGGTCGAATTAATTCGCCGTCCTCGCAAACAAATTTGGTTTGCGATCAAAGACCCCACGAGAAAGTTTTTCTGTAGGAGTTCATTTCTTGTTTCAGGTTGGAGAACTAGTGCGTCCATGAGGGTTCCCTTCTAGGTCTCTAAATCTGTGTGAAGTAGTATTTAGCCACGGTCCTTGCATGAGACGATCGTGCTCCGCTCGGCAGACTGTAGGGAGGGCCATTACTGTGCAATGGTTCAGTTCAGTTGAGAAGCCTCGCGTGGAAATAGGCGGGCCAAAGACACATCACTGCGATTCGCAGCACAATCAGCGACCTTATGAATCTGCTGTTGTCACAGCCTCCGATCTTCTTGCATTCATTGCTCAGGTTTCCAACCACTGAGTGGCTTTCGTACTGGAACAGTCCAGGCCCCAGTGCGCTACCTGCAGCCTTAGAAACCTGCAGTCATTGGGCTCAAGGTCGCCCTGACAATTGGGAGGGGGCTTTGCTTAACCACAGTTAGCCCCTCTATAAGGTTGTTTGTAAGTAGGGCAGCTGGTGCCGGCATGTTGGTTTTGCTTGGTTTGTCATTGCCGCTGCAGAAACTCCTTTGTGCTGCTGTTGCAATGGTTTCCTGATTTGACTTGATTGCTGTGTGGAAACGTAGAGACCCTAACATGTTTTCACTGGAGGTCCTATCCATTGTTCTCTACGGTTGCAACATACTCCTTCACTTCAAGCATGGAAGATGACGATCGGGTTTTGCAGACTCCCTTTTGAGGTTTGGCCCCCGTACTCGGCTTCCATTGAAGAGGAAGACTCAGGGTCACAATTAGGGCCCCTTTCCAGCATCCCGCGGGGTTGGACAAGGGGCCAAATATGGGGGTTGATCAAAAGGTCCGTGATACATGGGCCAATGGTTGGACACCCGCTGAGCCGGTTTGATATTTCTCACATGGGCAAAGTTGCCCATGATCACAGCTGGGGGCCTTTCACGGTCTATTTATCAACCCCCCATATTTGGGTGTTTCTGAAGGTTGGGGCTACCAGGTAGGAGGTTTCCTCTTCCCTTCAAAACCCGTCCGACTCCTTGGAGAAAAAAACCATGTGGATGGACACGTGGGCCCATCAGTTTGACACGCCCGAGGCCCTGAGATGTGGCTGCCCCAGCTGCGTGAGAAGCGGCGGTACCCGGGCATCGCCCGGGCCTTGGGCTCTCGTTTGGGGCGAAAAATGATCGATATGGGGTTGATACTGCGGATGGACGAAGTCCGATTTGCACCACCTAACAAACCCTGGTTTCGGATTCGACTCCCCTGTAAATTCCAACAAACAATGGTTTCCCGTGGATGCCAAGTGGTGCAGGATTCTGTCCATCCACAGTATGTGGGGGTTGGTGTCACTTTGTGGGGGTTGTCAGTGAATCGGCGTGTCAAACTGATCGGGGCTTCAGAGAGATTCCCTAAAAGGAGGCCCCCAGGTTTAACCGTGGGTTACTTTTCCCATGTGGCAATGTTTTAGATCTTAGTGGTTTTCCAACCAATGGTCATCCCATGTACACAGACCTTTTGATCAACCCCCTTGTAACAACCTTTCAGAGGTGCGGCTTTTGCTTGTGGGGTTCTCAAAATCAGCTTTGAGGTGCAGTTTCGCATGGTTCAAGGGTCTGAGAGTGTGAGATTAAGGGCCCAGTAGGGAAGCCCATGTTTTTAAAGGGGTCCCTCTAGGTTACCATATGGAACCGGGCAACTAAAGGTGCCGAAGCCGTTCTGATGTATTTCCGCGATGATTGGTCAAGAACGCATCAAGCAAAAGGCGTATCCGCAAACAAGCGTCATTTGGTTTTATGTCATTGTGGGTGGGATGAGATGAATTCTGATCAATTGATTTGATTTGCCATGGCTTATGCCGCGCGAACCACGACGGCTCCTCCGCGCGGCGCGAAGAATTCTTCGCGCCCCTCAGGTGTCCGTGAACCGGGTCGAGGTCTTTTGCCCCGACGAGCTGCCCGGTTCAAAAGGCGTCCTCGCTAACCTCCCTGAGATCTTTGCACCGAGTCGCCAGTGCTTTGTTGCTGGTTTACATCGTGAAGGGGCAGATCGGAGAGCATCCGCTGAGATAGGACATGACAGTTTAAATCATGTATAAGAGTCCCCGTTGAATGCAGCAGGACCAGCGCTACTCTTAGCTGTCTGAATTTTGTCTCACACTTGCTCATGGTGGCGCACGTAACTTCAAACCCCATGCGAGAAGAGTGATAAAGTTTGGTCTTTAAGGTTTTGGAATGCATGGTGAGTTTTGGACAGAATAGGTTTGCTTGACCGGGGCTCCTGTTCAGCGCCAGTCAGAAAAATGCAGACTTGCCCAGGATGGATCTGCTCTCTTCCTGGGCATTTCTGCCCCTGAGCGCCGTTGAAGAGACGAAGCAAGCACGACTTCGCGTCTACGCGCTGTATGAGGCAAAGCAATGTAATGCACAGAGGAGTGGTGGACATGTATTCCTGCTTTTGACAGCCTGTTTGAGTGTTCGGCCAAGTTCCAAAGTGGTTAGCCACTTGCATTTTGATCCCCTAGCAGGATTAACCCCACTTAGGGAGGCCTAGAAGTGGGTAGTAGCCTAGGTCTACAACAACTAACCATGGGCATGTTTGATCTTGAGTTGTTGCACATGTTAAGGTTTAGTATTGGTGTGCACGACTCCACATACACATACCCACATGCATGCATACCTCTCTGTTTCCACCTATGTACCTATGTACTTGCGTACGCACAAATATGCATGCATGCTTATACACGCACATACAGACACAGATACAGATACAGATACAGATACAGTGACCGATACACATACACACACGCACGCACGCACGCACGCACGCACGCACGCACGCACGCACGCACGCACGCACGCACGCACGCACGCACGCACGCACGCACGCACGCACGCACGCACGCACGCACGCACGCACGCACGCACGCACGCACGCACGCACGCACGCACGCACACCACATCCACATCCACATCCACATCAACCTTCACAACCACATCCGCATCCACATCCGCATCCACATCCACATCCACATCCATCCATCCATCCATCTATCCATCCATCCATGCATCCATCCATCAATCCAGCCATACATGCATGCATACATACATACATAGATGCACACGTGCACACATACATGCACACAGCCATCCCACGCCGTCCCATCCCATCCCATCCCAGCGCACCCCACCCCACTTCTCCCCACCCCACCCCACCCCACCCCACCCCATTCCATCCATCCAACTATCCAACAATCCATCCATCCATCCATCCATCCATCCATCCATCCATCCATCCATCCATCCATCCATCCATCCATCCATCCATCCATCCATCCATCCATCCATCCATCCATCCATCCATCCATCCATCCATCCATCCATCCATCCATCCCATCCGTCCATCCGTCCATCCGTCCATCCGTCCATCCGTCCATCCGTCCATCCGTCCATCCGTCCATCCGTGCATGCACATACAAACATACCTGTACTAACACATGAATCCATCCGTCTATGCATGCATGCATGCATGCATACATCAAATTCATGGATAAGAACTGACTGGGAACTCGTTTGTTTGTCCGGCTGATGAATGGGCCTTTTTGCGCAGCAAGTATCCTGACACACACACACACACACGTACACACCACATTCCCGCCTGCAGGGCCACAAGACGGAGCGCTACTGCTCCCCGGAGCGCCGCGCTGGTGAGAGGCCGGGTTTTGGGGTGCCCATTTCGGCCTGCGAAGACTGCCAGGACAAATGTTGTTTGTTTCAAGTTCACCCAATTCAGAACGAGAACCAAACTTGCGGCCTTATTTGGGGGAAACTGCGGCAGGGGGTGTTGGCGGGCGGGGGGTATCATGCGCGGCATTTGTTTTCAGGCAAGTATCCTGGTGCTGCCACCGGTGAGCCATAGTTGAGCCAGCGACCAGGGAATGTTTGCGCATGTCAACATAAGAGGGCCTCTGTGAGCACTATGCCAAAAGGAAACTCTAACCATTGCACGTCAGCCAATTTGCAGTGGCCCGTCAAAAAGCTAGCAAGAGACCGAAATGAGGCCACTAAATGACTACGCCTGTCGTTGAACTTACATGAATGTGAAGTTGTTGGTGCTTGGCAGTGTATCCTGGTTGTTTGTGTTGGTTTCCTTCAAGCAACCAAGAGGTTCCTCGGTGACACATTCCCACCGTTCCAAACGATAGGTTTTACATTGGATTGCCGTTCTCCCGAGGGCTCGCGTGTTGACAGATCCAGTATGTCTCCGGGCAACCCCGTCCCCCCAAAATAGTTGCTTGCCAATAGCACAAAAAGACAAAACAAATCCAGTTTGTTCAGGTCTGTCCTTACAGAGTCACTTTTGGATCTTGCGGTTGGCCGTTTCACTGCTTCCCTGCCTAGTTTCGTTGACGGTCAGGTGCTGCCGCTGTGGGGAGAAGGCCGCCGTTTTGCACGTGGCGGGAGACATGAAGACGCTTGGCACGGTCGCGGCCGGCGGCCGGAGGGGCCCACAAGATGTGGGTGACGACGGGTAGAAATGGGGAAGAGCAGAAAGCCGGACGTTGGTAACGGCCGACTCAAGTGATCTATGCGGCTGCTGCACTGCTGTGTGGGAAAGAGGTCGATATATCAGGAGAATGGAGTGTTGGTGTTGCAGAACCATGCCATATCGGATTCCAAGCGGATGATCTTGTTCAAGCTCAAAGAATTGTGATTTGAACCAGAGCCGTTCTTTCAGACTCCTAGAGGGGGGCGAAAGACAGTGGTCAAAACGGCAAATGCCTACAACTTGGGGACCCTTGTTGCTCGATTCTGAAGAGAACCAAGAAGCCAACGGCCAAGGGATATGGGCCCTGATGTTGATATAGATGTGTTTCGATCTGTTGTTTGAGGCAAGACTTTTTGGTCGGGGGGCATTACATAAGCCAAAGTGACGCCACCTGCTCTCTGGACAAACGTTGTTCGAAGGCGTCGGGAATTAAACCCCGCGTCAGGAATTGGCCATCAATGCAAGCGTTGCTGCGAGCGTACATGCCGCCTTTCAAGGACGGGCGGCGCACTGCTCGGTCGGGTGGCGGGATGTGTCGAGCTATTGCCGGCAGGATACATTTCTTGTTGGTGAGTAGGGAATGAGGGAAAGAATCTGAAGGGATTCCCTTAAAGGAAACCATGGGGGATGGTTTATAGGGGTCCTTCCCTACTGAGCACCCGCAAGATTTTGAAATATTGGCGCTCCTTGTTGTATTGTTATACAAGTACAATGTATAGTATGCCAATAGAATGGACCAGGAAAGACGGCATGTGGGGGCTCGAGACACGCAGCACTCCCGCCCCGGTTCCGGAAACAGTCAACTGACCATGCTTGCCCTCGAAAAGTCGACCTTTTCCGGGGCAGACTGGTTTATGAATATTCAGGCCGGTTCAGGTGGAGCACTTCTTCTCGGAGAGCTTTCCTCGAGCAAAGAAGCGCACAAACGCATGATATTTGGTAAACAAAAATTTAAACGAGCACACCAGCAAGCAATCAAACCAGAGAAAGCAAGCCAACACAACAAGCAATCCCCGAGACACACGTTCATTGGGCTTTCACTGCAAACGATGCGTTCGTTTTTGTTTAAACGGGGAAAACGCTGCAAGCACAAGGCACTCTGGACTATGCTGGTGTTTTTTTTTGGTGGGGGAGCATCGATTTGGGTGGTTTGGGGTTCTCCTACTAGACGTGGTAATGTTGGACCTGCTTTAATGTGATCCCCCCCCCTGAACAATGAAACCAGTCAGCGGGACTCTGTTTAGGCAAACCCTGGGGGTCTGGGTGGGACTTTCAAATTGATTTAGTATTGGTAGACTTGAGTTTCCATTTGATTTAGTATTGCTGGAGCTTCCTTTTGAGATCTGGAACTGAGTTTCCATTTGATTTAGTATTGCTTGGAGCTTCCTTTTTGAGATCTGGAATTGAGTTTTCATTTGATTTAGTATTGCCGGAGTTTCCTTTTGAGATTTTGGAATTGAGTTTCCATTTGATTTAGTATTGCTGGAGCGTCCTTTTGAGATTTTGGAACTGAGTCTCCATTTGCTTTAGTATTGCTGGAGCTTCCTTTTGAGATTTGGAACTGAGTTTCACATTGATTTAGTATTGCAGAGCTTCCTTTTGAGATTTGCTCCCAAAACCAGTTGAACACCAGGGTTGGTTGTGGGCCCCCCTTTGTGTGATTGATTCACCTTGCTTTTTAGTAAAGAAGTTATCATAAATTTGATGGTTTGGGCACAACTTGCAAAATGGATTTCCTAGACCGCAGGCCTTTTACTTTTGGGCTGGGGAGAGCTTAGGATGAGCCACCCTTAAGAGTAAATTTGATGGTTTGGGCACAACTTGCAAAATGGATTTCCTAGACCTCAGGCTAGCTCAGAACCAGCCTCCAGCTCAACAGAGCTAAGGCTTAGTCTAGCTTGAGCCCAACCTGAGCCTGCCCAGACCAGAGAGTTGAAATCAAACAAGCCTGCACTGTTTTTTGGATTTTTTTTGGGAGGGGATAAAACTTGCAACAATAGTGGACCCCTAAACAGCCCCAGGATCCTGAATTGCATGTTTTGACAATAGCGGCGACTTTCATTAAAGCGGGTGTAACATTACCTTGGAAGGTGCTGATTGCTGGGAAGCAGGCCTTGACATTTCCTGTAGCTTGAGGGTAGAACGGAAGGTCACAATTGGCAAGCTGGTGACAGAATAGCGTGGGAAGCTATAGGGATAAGTTATTCAGCGGACTTGCTCCACTATCACCAGGTATTGAATAGATCTGTTTGCGTGATCGTCCCCCCCTCAACATGGTGCTTGTTCTGAAAACCAGTGCCGCCTAGATGTGTGCTTTGTCACACTTGTTTGGCTTAGCCTTTGCTACCCGGGATTCAGGATCGGTACAGACATTGAGATGTCCGGCTTCCCAATTTGGATGCATACGGGTCAGAGAATCATTCACTTGAGTTGCAACACAGCTGGTTTTGCTTGTGGATAAGTTGAGCGGTGTATCAATGGACATTCAAGTCGCAGTTGATTTGAGCTGTTCAGCATTGGACCCCAGAACCGCGCCTTATAAATGTGCGGAACTTGAGTCCAATCTTATATTGGGGATGACCAAGCATGGAACTATTTCAGAACTTGACTCTTCCCCCGTTTTGACGCATCGACCATCCCTGGGTTGAAGTCATTGGCTTGCGAGGAGTTGCCCCCGAATCACTTCGCCGACGCCCTGTCCAAGGTCTGGACCGGTGGCGACCAGCGGCTACAGTGCCTGGGCGGGCAAGGGAAAAAGATCTTCGGTCGGCTTCGTTTTGGGTTTGGGGGGTATGTGTTGGAACCAACTTGGTTTTGAGTGAGCAGATTCACAGCTGCGTGCAGTGTACGTTTGTTTTGGAGTCTAGATTCGTCATGATGTTGCGGTCTTCCCCCCCTCCCACCAGTCACCACTCACCCAATGTCCCCCCCTCCCACCCAATGTGCCAGCCTTTTGCATTTTTACCTTCTGTTTTACCTTCTAGGTCCCCAAGTAGCACCCTTTTGGCCAACTTTTTTGGGGGAGGGTTCCCCTACTAAAAATCACCACTTTGCAAAAAAGATCGGGCACCAACTTCTTCTAACCTCTCTGGAGGACCTCGCCTTTCCGCTTCGTGGGTTTGGGTTCGTTCTCCCCACTTCCCCCGCTTTGAGCCTCTGGAGTCCTGGCACATCGGTCCTTGACATGGTGCGAGGCAAAGGTCTGCGGTTCGCTTTTCGCAACATGAACACACGGTGATTCACAAATATGGCTGTGGTGGTCAAAACCGGTTTGGGATGTGGGTAAAAACCGGTTTGGGAGCCCAGTTTGGTGGGGATGGGTGAATTCACCACCCATTTTTTGGAACCTATTTTAGTGGGGATGGGGATGTTCACTGGGGGTACGGGCTTTTGACCCACGGCTACATATTTGCGCATCTTCGCATCTTGGGCGGCACTGAGTCCTTCACTGGCTGCAATGAGTGCCGACTCCTTCTGTCCACTGGTGCCCAGTTTGCCCTGTTTGTGTTGCATCGAGTCGTCAGAAGCAGAGGCATTTGGACCACTTGGAGATGTTGCGGCACGTCCGATGGTCCTTGGTGTGAAGTACATCAATGTTGGCTTTTCCTTTTTTGTGGAGCGTGTCCGCGCCAAAGTGAATGAACACGGATAGTAAGGCTGATGAATGGGATAGCAGTTGAGAGCATTGGATGCCATCCAGGAAATATGGCTAGAGCAGACTTGCAAGTAGCTGACGCTGATTTCCCTGATTTGCGTGCTCTGGGAGCGATCCCAGCAAATTCATCCAGGGTGAAGCCCAGGCCAAAAGTCAGCCCAGTGGTTCGCGCTGGTGTGTCTTGTTTCATTGGACGGTCCGCTTTGAACCCAAAACCTTCAGTTGCCAAAAACGGCACTTTGGCATTTGTAGATTTGGTGGTCGAATGCACGTTCGGAGGTCCCCCTAGCACAACCAGTCTGTTGACGGCAAGCTATTCTCTCCTCCAGGGAGATCCTGAGCCAGACCAACGACGAGGCGTTGGTGGCTGCGAAAGCGAAGCTTGGATCGCAACCGAAAGGGCGGCGGTTCGTCTTGAAGTGATCCCAAACACAGCGGCGATGCACTGGGTCGTCCCTATCCTCACAGAATTGATCTCTTCGCGGAGTGGCAGAGTGAGCCCAAGACCGAAGATGTGCACAGTGAGATGAATCTATGGGTACTGGTTTCTCATCAAGCCATGACTAGAAATGATTTAGATTGTAAAGTAGGATCCGTATCAGAGGTTCATGTCTAGGATCCATACAAGAGGTTCATGTCTGTGTGTGTGTGTCCATTTACTCTGAGTTGGGCCCCAGCCTGCTTGTCCCGACAGGTCGACCCAAAGGGAATGCAATGATGCAACCCTGGTTTGTAAATAATGCCACATGTTCTGAGCGCCTATGGAAGATCACACGGACCGCTTGGGTTCTGCCCACATGACATTCCATATTTGTGTAATGCCAAATTCAGCAAGTCCACGTGGTTGCTGTGTATTTAGTGTGTCAAATCACTCTGTGAGCCTAAAGGTGTCCTTTTGGGTCAGTGTAGTTCAATGGATGGTACTGGTGCCAGTGTGGTCGAACCGTTCCATGGGATATTGCCGAAAGACACCTGGACTGTGACATTTCCCTTAGGTTGGATCACCTTGTCAAATATGAAACCCACAGCTTCAACGACATGTTGGTGTTCCCGGAAGGACCAGGCTTCACAGCCCACATTTTTTGCCGCCAACCGTTCAACCCTGGCCCATTTGCCCAGTGGGTTGCTTCCTTTTTTTCCCACTTTTTTTTTGGGAGGGTTCCCCTTTAAAGTCAACCAACCCAAAAAACGGATGCCGATTCATTTTTCCCCATGGAAATCTACTGGACATCCACCCCTGGCCTCACCCCCCCAGCGGCCTGGGGAGCTTCAGGCTGGGCATCCAGGCGGTCTTCGGGAGCTGCGCGACCTTGCGCTGCAAGGCGCGGCAGGACTCACCGACTCACCGCTGGCCTCTTCTGCCGGACGTGTTGCAGTGACGTATCAAAGAGCGCTTGATTGCTTCGGTTCCACCCCCCCTTGGGATAGAAGAAGCCCTTTCTGCCTGACAGTTGCAGAATTTCAGGCATCCCCCCCCTTGTTGGGTTAGAAGAAGCCCGATTTCAGGCATCCCCGCCGGAGCAGCTGAACTACGTGTCCGTGCAGCTGCGGAAGGTCTTTGTGCCATGCCTTCTTGAGGCGGCAAGTGGCGAAAGAATGTTGGCGCCGCCACAAGCAGGGATTTGAAGCAAAGGCATACTGCAAAGGGCTGAATCATCACGAGCATGTTTTTTCTTACACTCCTGACGCAATTGGGTCCAACGGTACCCCACAACCCGATTTTAGTCATTCAGGCCCTTATGGCATGACGACTCCAAACAGTTAGTTTCATGTGTGTCCCTTCATCAAAGGAAACACATCAACACGGCAGTTGTTTTATTGAAACACAAATCACACAATGGATCCTGTTAAATCAGGGACTGTACATTGGGAGATGTTTCTTATTGATGCTCTTCTCAAGACATGCCATCCCCAAACAGGGTCCCTGGATGTGGCCGGTGGCCAATGGTCACAGAAGAGCTTGGCAATGGCAACAATAAGTTTTGTGTGTTGTGCTAGGCACAACGTTCAGCGGTCGGCAGCGGTTGCTTAATCAATGAAGATGCGTCACGTGTACATTATACAGTGTATGATCTAGTGTCAAGCGGTGTTATCCTCCCAACAACTATCATGAAACCTGACAGGGGCGTCCTGGAAGACCAGTTTCCTTTTTGCATGGACCCCCTGTCAGGTTCCATGTTTTTTTTTTTTTTTTTTTTTTTTTTTTTTTTTTTTAAATAACTTCCCAGAGTAAAGCTACCTTGTCCGTGGTGAAGGTTTGTCAAGATTTATCTTTTTATGGTGCATTGCAGCGACTCATTGCAGCAACTCATTGAGTTGGCTTGTTTCCAAGTGATTGATTGGCGTTGGGATTTCCGCAAAAAGGATGGCTTTCCCTCAGCCTTTGAGAGCCACATGTCCGGGTACTTGACCCGCTGTTGGGACTCCAAACTGGTTCAATTGGCTATCGATTCATGTGTGTGTGTGTGTGTGTGCGTTTGAAGCAAACGAGACACCTCAAACGAGAGATCTTGAGAACGAGGTTTTCCTACTTGAGTTGATCTACAACATCGTGTCGGTCTTTTGTTCGTTGGCGAGCACATTTGGATCCATCATGATGCAGTTTGCACAGAAGCCCTTCAGACCGTTGTGTTTACTATAACGCCTACATTCTTATTGGTTCCATCAATCATCTGGCTAACATCATTTTGAATGTTTGATCTTGTGGGTCCCTTATTCCAGGTCGATGAGTTGTGAGATACATTTCGCCAAGGCGTGTGATAGGCATTTCCAACCAAATAACGACATCACTCACAGATGTTTGGTTTGCTTTGGCTTTCCCTCTAAGCACTGTCGAACCAGGGTTTCCATTTTTACAACCACGTGCATACATGGCGAATATTTCAGTCTAGAGCTCGACGGCGCTTGCGCGGCTGCCCAGTTTTACGGCAAACTATTGATAGCACTGGCCCAAGCCTTCCAGTGGCAGTGTTTTTCCAAAGACTGTATGAAGTACGGTGGTGGTTCTGGTAATGGGTTCCGTGCTTGTGTGTTCTGGATGCTCCAGATCCGTGTGAAATTGGCGACGGAAGTTTCCGCAAGGAATAATGTTATTAAATATGGCAGTTTTCCATGTGCGCAAGACATCTGGCTTGACTCTGCGGAAGTTGGGCAGCTCGCTGACTGCAATGATGTGTGCAGTCAGTTGTGCGCGGGCTTGCTACTTGAAAATGGGGTGCCTCGCTCTGTCGTGCTGTGCAGAATGATGCGCAAGGCCTACCTTTCATGGCCCGCGCCCTTTTGTGGTGGGGTTTTGGGCTAGGTGTAACGCTTGTGCAGCTCTGCTCTGCAGTAGCTTCTCTGTGGTTACCCCGCTGCACCCTGGTTCTTTGTTTTCGTAGTTGCCTGCGCCCGCCCGACGGTTCGTGTCCATGGACTAAGCGCACACGATGTCAAGGTGAACCAAAAAACGTAGCCGAAGGTTGTCCAGTTTCGGGAGGCCCGAAGCTTGCCAGAACCATTCGGTAGCCCGCCCCTGCTTTCCCATGTCGGGGCACTTTTTAAGTCGTTTGTTCCGGGCACTGTTTCTGAGCAGGGTGGTTCTCAAAGTATGGCTGTGGGTCAAAATCCCCAGTTAACATCCCAATCCCCACTAAAATAAAGCCTAAAATGGGTGATTGCACCTACCCCAAAATGGTACCATTGGTTGCGACAACCACAGCCATATGGGCGCCCCAAAATGACGGGTGTCCTCTTGGTTTCCCTTCAAACAAAGCCAAAACCTCGGCCATTGCGCCAGGTGGAGACCACGGCCCTGCGCGACACGCATTTGCTGTTGGGCATCGGCGCCCACTCGGGCGTGGAGCTGGTGGTCAACGGCCGGGCGGAGAAGGTGCCTTGAATCGGAGCGAGTCCATGTTTGCTTGGTTGTTTTGGCAAGGGGAAGCACTGGTCAAGTGCCAAAAAGGGCTTTCCCCCTCTTTCCTTATGGCCAATGGAGGTGATGGCCAATGGAGGTGTGGGTTCCGTAATATGAAAAGATGTAGCAGATGGCACTGATGGCACATGTTGAGCTTTGTTGTGAGCAGTTGCGGAATCAGATGTTGAATCTGTAGGGCTCATATAGTGCCCCCCTGTTGGTTTGTGTGCTTGTTGCATGTTTTGGACTTGATGTTTCAAGGAGGCCCTGATGTTTGCACCTTTGAATTTCCAAAAGGCAGCTACTCGTTTTGAGAAATCTGCGGGTCTTCGGGTGGGAACCATTTTGCCCAGAGACGGTGATCCGCGCGGGTTTCGGCGGCTTTGCGGCCGGGATGTCCCAGCCTTCGAGAATATGAGAGGTCCGCCGGTCCGCCCCGCGAAGTGCCTTGCGGACATTTGACGAACCACTTGGCTTTGGTGGTTGTTTCGCGAAATTTGAGAAATGGTTTCGATCAGCTAGTAGCTGCAGGTGAGGTTGATGGTGTCATTTCAAGATGGTCCGTGGGTGGCTGTTTGGGTCTATTTCAGGAGCACTCCGGGGAATAGGCTTGGTGGTTTTGCTTGCTTGCTTTCTTCTGCTTTGGTGGTGTTGGCACCCTATTTAGCATCCAGTGAGCATTTGCTGTTTGCTTTGCTTCTCTCAATGTTTGCTGGATGATGTTCCCCTGGTTTTTGGCGGTTTTAATTGTTTCCCCTTGGTGTTCGGCGGTTTTGCGGTTTTGCGGCGGCTTGGATGTTTGTCCAAAAGTTTTCATGGCCTTGACGTTGAGGGCTCCTGCCTGCGGTGGGTACGGAGCTCGCCGGCGACCAGCGATTCCACGGCCTGGACGCTGAGGCAGGCTTGGTTGGTTGGTTCGAATGATGGATTGATTGGCTGGGGACTACTGATTGGTTGGTTGGTTCGTTGTCTGATTGCTTAATTGATTGTTTCATTGATTGATTGGATCGGCTGATTTGATTGATCGGTTGGTTGGTTGATGAACTGATTGATTGATTTGATTGCTTGCTTGCTTGCTTGCTTGCTTGGTTGGTTGGTTGGTTGGTTGGTTGGTTGGTTGGTTGGTTGGTTGGTTGGTTGGTTGGTTGGTTTGATAGGTCGGTTGGTTGGTCGACTGACTGACTGGTTGATTAATTGGTTGGTTGGTTGTTTCTTTTGTTTGTTTCCGTGGGTGCCTGTCTTTTTGTGTGGGCTTGCATGTGTCTCTTTGTTGGTTGGATGGTTTGTTTGTTGGTTTGGTTGGTTGTTTGTGTTACTTTCTTTTCTTGTTGGGTGCTTGCTTGTTTGCTTGTTTTTTTATTAGCTAGTTTGCTTGCTTGCTTGCTTGCTTGCTTGTGTTCGTGTGTGGGTGTGGCAGTGCTTGTGTGCACGTGTGTTGGTGTGCTTGTGTGTTCGTGTTAGTGTGTTGGTGGGTGTGTTGGTATTGGTGTGTGTGTGTGTGTCTCTCTGTGAGTGTCTCTCTGTGAGTGTCTCTAAAAGTGTCTCTCTGTGTGTGTGTGTCTCCGTTTGCGTGTTTGTGATGATGTAAGGTTGTGTGTATGCTTGCGTGTGTGCATGTGCATGTGCATGTGCATGTGCATGTGCATGTGCGTGCGTGCGTGCGTGCGTGCGTGTGTGTGTGTGTGTACGCTTGTGTGTGTGTGTGTGCTTGTGTGCGTTTGAGATGGTGTGTCTGTGTGTCAGTGTTTGTGCGTGTGTTTGCTTGTTTTTGGTTGTGTATGTCTCTGTTCTCTATGCATGTGTGGGACGCGTGTTGTTTTCGTGTTTGTATGTCGTGCGTGGCATATGTGAGACGAGAGTCGACTGGCCAGGCGGGAGATTATGTGCGTGCCCTTCGGCCCCAAGGTTGAGGCTGCGGAAGGCGATAGGGAGCGGGCGGGGGATCGGCTTGAAGGACTCGTTTGGTGGACGCTTGGGGGAAGCCCCAAAAAAAATCGTTTGTTTTTCTTCCTTTTTTTTTTCTCGGAGCCATATCAGTGGGTTCCATCTTCCGCCCCCACCCACCCGAACTTGTCAGCTCAGGGAGTCTTGTCAATGGCAGGGCTCAGCCTAGGGTCTGAGGCTCCCTGCCTCCCGACTCAAATAGCTGGGATAGACGGCACCTTTAGGTTTAAACATGTCTTCGAGGGGGTGTTATTTGGGTGATGCTGAACCGGGAAGCATGGGGAGTCTTGCAAAAAGGCCAACCCACAAATGCGTTCAAAGATGATAAATTATTTTTGTAATTTTGCAAATCTAGAGACGAACTAAATTCATGTTCGGTGTCAATATGTCGGTGCCGCAAAAAGGCCAACCACAGAAGCTTTCAAAGATGATCAAAGGGTTTATATGAATTTGCCAATCTAGAGACGAACCAAAAACATGTTCAATGATAATATGTGCATGTCAGAATGGGCATAGAGTAGTGGAATATCATCTCAATTCATGTCAAGGCGTCAGCGCGGAATCCTCACTGTGCGACTTCTGTAAACATGTCACTGCGACATCAATTTGAGAACCCTTGGGCCCCGATTTCTCATATTCAAGTCAAGCTGTACTTAAGGGCGAAGTAAACAACCATAACCAAAGACCAAAGACATCATGGTTTGTATGAGCCCATTCATTCAGCCTATGAAAAGTGGGGGCAACCGAGCGCGGGAAGGTCCGGTTGCGTCAATGCGGTTTCCTTTGGGCTGCTCTTGTTTCATGCACTCCAGCCCGCTCTGGGCTTGCCGTGTAGCCAAATAGGTATTTTCACAAATGGACCGGTCTATTGGTGTTGCCCTTCGACCCAAACGGAGTTCACCTTGTTTGGAGAGACCCAAATGGAAGCCGGCATTCCAGAGAGCTTCTCCAAGGTTCTGTTGTCCAAAGTGTGATTCATGGGTTGACCTGCAGAGCCTTCAATGTAAAGGGCAACCTGCTTGATTTCACTTCAAAACACAGGGAAAACCAGTTTGAAGGAAGGATCAGCATGTAGTTCTGGAGGTGCTGAGCCGATTGGTTCGTTCCGTTTTCCAGTTCTGTCACGACCTAGCCGCCACGGGGAGCCTCAGTTCAGCCGAAATGCAGACTCGCAGAACCCGATTTCCGTAGGCGTGGAAGCCTGGATGAGGTTCTCTCTGAAGATAGGCACGGTTCGGGTGTAAGCCCGTCGACGGTGCAGGGCGACCTTGGAGCTTCGGGGTCAAGGTCCATGTTAGGGTCTTGGGCTCTAAGAAGGCAGGCATTTGGAGGGCATTGACATGTGTCTAAAACATCAGAGCGGATTCTATGGAGAGGCAAAGTAAGCTAGGGTAGATAGCAAGGACCTGATTCAAATTGCAATTGCTGATATTGTTTGAGAAGTCTGAAGCGACAAAGATACATTATCCAGGTTTGGCATGGATGGGGGACGATGCTTGGGACCTTTGGGGCAGGTTCGGGATGATTAATGGACCATGAGAAAAGTGTTCGCTCCTTCCCTCTTTATTTCAGTCCATGCTTGTTTACCCAATGTGTTATGCATAAGTCATTGCCTTTTCCAACAATGAGAAGGCCCTGTGGTGTTTCTTGCTTTGGCACACACCTTGTGCATATGGTTTTCTCGTCAGCCGCTGTTCGCCCGCCGTGGAGTGGAAGCCAACTCATCGGATGCTCGTGCCGAAAGCGCAGTTTTCCACCCAGACTCCATGTGCTGAAGAGTATGCCTGATTTTTCCCTGTTGGTTTTGAGGGGAATCTATCTCTACTGGAGTTTGCTTTCCAAAAGACTTAAGCAAAGGAAGATGATTTGCCGAGTCCAGCCAGGCGCAGATGGCTTGGTGGTCGTGAGCTTTCCAGAAGGCGAATGGGGCAACTTCCTCCCCGAGGCACACAAGTCGCAGAGCGGTCGGGCGGAACTTGAATCTATCTGGCGGAACTCGGAATGTACTGCGCAGTGCAAAGAAGATTTGGCAGTTTAAGAAGAACCAACTGAATGAATTGGTTGGGCAGTTGCGGCTCCCATTTTGCTGATGAGAAGCTTAGACATAGATGTTCGAAGGTTGATGCTGCAATTGCCACCTGTTTGAACTTCCCGCAGCTTTTGCGGAAAGGAAGCGTTAGACGATCTTGGCTATGAGTTTCTATATCATGGACATGTTCAGGAATTCTGGTGCTTCAATGTTTGACACCAACTCCATCAAGGACTCTCTTACATGTGTCTATGGCAAACATTGAATTGCCATGTTTTTATTAAATCCTTGTTGATTGTTGGGAGGAGGCTAGAGGATGCAATGGGAGCTGCTTGCAAACTCTGATGGGTCTCTGAAGGGAGGGTCACAGCCCATTAAAAGGCACGCAAAGTTCTAGTGGCTTGGTTTTGCTTTTTTGCAAATTCTAGTGTAGAGGTGGTCCTTTCATTTCAGCCCCCCTGAGTGTGGTCAGGAGGTGAGGCCCTGAGGACGTCGCACGTGGAAGTGACCGTTTTAGACGGCGACATGCTGGCCTGCTCAGGAGCCGCTGGCCATTATGCTGCAGAACGAGCTGACGGTCAGTGTGGGCACCGCGGCTTCACTCCGCCGCCTTTCTTGAGCCAGTTTTCCAGATGCCTTTTGCGAAGGGTCCTGGACAACAGAGGCCCCAGACATGAAAAAATGCTGGGGAGCAGCAATTTTAGGTGTTCCCCGTTCCAGATGATTCAGGCTCCCCTGTGCCCCTTCTTGCTGACTGCAGGCAGAGCAGAGGGTCGCCTAATACGACTGGAGGAAAGTCTGTGAGAGAAATTGCTGGCTTGGCCTGTTCGAATTTAGTGTCGGGAACCACTGGGATTATACACAAAGCTTGGTTGTTGGGGTGACAATGGTGACACACACACACGCACACGACTTCTCCAACACGCCCAGTACCAGTTACATGTATGTCCTTACCACAAAACCGTATTGATCGATGTGTCAGTGTCTACTGATATGCTGTTGCCGGGCTTCCTGCCGCCTTTGCCTTGAGCAAAATGTGTATAAAGTCGTAGTCTTAATCAACTCGTATGCCACTAATGATGTGTATTGACCAATCTGTCCGTGAAAAGGTTTGAGTGAGATGTGTCACTTGTGTTTGTTGCAAGCAGACGCCCTTCAAGTTTCAACATTACGATTTGTGGGCTGGTTTCCCTTTTGAATCAACCTGATTCTCAGAAAGGGCTTCCGTTGGACACATGACAGGAAACTCCGCACAATACCCCAAGCATTTTGCTGAGGTCCATGTGTGCAATTCTGCGATCCATTCTGCAATGCGATGATTGGTGGATTGATAGGGTTGTGCAGAGGTTCGAGCAATCTCAGGTACCTTCTACGGTGACACCAAGTGGGCCGTGTGCATGAGACCACATGGCGACGCAAAAGAAGCCGCAGGATTGACGCAGGAGGAATATGCTAGAGCAAGCCCTTTCTCACTTCCTGAGTTTCTGGACTTTGGACGTTTTAGGACAACATTTTTTCGGCATACAAACAGCTTGGACTTTTCGTTGGGCCATCCACTTAGGAAGTGAGCTTCTGGTTGTGGAAGTAGTATGGTCCTGGTTTTGCGCTTGGCCCAAGGTTGGAGACACCCCAGGTGTGGTGTGTCTGTTGGAGGGCACAAACCACGACCCCCCCTAGCTGACAGATGAGCCCGGGCCTGGAGAATGGAGGGCAATTTGGGTGGTACTGTCTCATGCGCACATCTCGTGTTGGGAAGTGTGCGCACTGAAAACTCATCCGGAACCAGCACCGGTGACATTGGTTGGGCTGTTGCAGAATCCACAAGAAGAGGCCCAACGAACAGCATTCTGGCTGCATGAAGAATCCTTTTCTTGGTTCTTTGATCCGGCCTTTGGAATTTTCCACGATGTGTACATAGTTGTGAACGCAGATGCAATTACATTTGTTCAGTAAGGTACTGCTAATGGCGTGCATACCTCCATCATTATCTGGCAAAGCACACTATTTTTTCTGCTTTCAGCTTTTGGAAGACAACACTTTCTTTGTTGCGTGACAGGAATGGGGGTGATCCATTCAGATGTACGATGTCTTTCCGTGATGCGCCCTACGGGCCACTCGATGGCTCCACTCCGGCAGGTCGATCAACATGTTGAATTGTTTGGGCCCGACCTCTTTGAAGGCATGGTAGTCAGCAAAAGGACTCCTGTTCGGCATGCTCCCATGGATCACGAGTCAGATCGAAAGGGAACCCCCCCCCCACATCCAGTTGCTTAAATGGGATGCCCCCTCCCGGGAGGAGGGCGTTTGGGTCCCACAGGGCTGCTCTGAGCCCAAAATGAGTATGGCTCCCTTGGTGTTCCTTTCCGAAACAACTGTATGCCGAAGAGGTAACCGCTTCTAGGTGGATCTGGTTCGGGTTAAATTCCCTCTGCCTAATTTACGGCGAGCTCACCGATTCGGGGGTAAAACGAGCTTTTTTCAGGCTTTGGACCTAAGGTTCCGTCAAACCCTCAAAGCTCCCTCATGTCTTTATTTGGCCATGGTTCAAAACCAATGCTACCATTTTGGGCTGGGTGAATTCACCACCCATTTTAGAACCTATGTTCAGTGGGGGTTGAATCGGATGTTCACTGGGGGCTAACCGATTTGGATTTTGAAAAGCCCATGGCCAAACCTCTTGAGCAGCTTTTGTCATCCCTTATGTTGTGGTATCTTCCAAACGAAAAGCGTGTTTCTTGTCGCAGATTGATTCGATTCCCTCCGCTCGCCTGGCGCTCGATGTGCGCCGAAGCGCGCTTTGCGCAATTCGGCGCCCCAGGCCCAAGCCACCGCGGACTTCGTGAAGACGGCGGCGGGCAACCGCCAGGTCCAGGCACGGCCACTCCTTTGCCCGGTGTTTTTTTTTTGGGGTGAGCTGTTCTCTGGTTGCCCAGTGGAATCCGCCCAAACGTTCAACGGTTTTTTTTGTTGGGGTTTGGATTCAGTGGATTCGGGTATGACACATTTCAATCAGTGGATTCAGTGGAAATTCTGTGGATTCAGTAACCCAGTTGCCCAGTGGTGCCCTTTTTGTTCTTGTTTTTGGGAAGGGTGTCCCTTGAAACTCAACCGACCAAAAATGAGGCCCTTTTTTTTCCCATGGCCACTGGGCATCTGCGCATGAGTCTTGCAGACCTGTTTTGGAGTGATGGAGCTGTTTCCTTCTGTTTTCAGAAGGTTTTTTTGAGGGCACGCATGTTTTGCGGCTAGGTGTAGCGAAAGTCAATTGGAACATTTTGAGGATGCCCCCAGTTGGAGGCAAGCCCTTCTGTTTGATTCCAAGTTGTGGAACAAATTTGGTTTAAAAAGAGACATTTGATTCCTCGAAAAGGGGTCCAAACCACAAGTCAGACATGAGCAACCGTGTACCAAGAGCGCAAGGGCAGCTAAGCGGGCCAAAGACGAACCCCAAGAAACCTCAAGAAATTGCCATTCAGAGAACTTCCAAACCTTCCCCTTATCCCAGAAAATCGAGGAAATGACAGAAAATCCACAGACATTCCAAACAAATCCTTCCTCCCTCCCCCCTCCTTCCCCGAAAACGCAAAAGAAAAGTGGAGCAGCCCAAGAACCCTCAAGAAACCTAAGAATGGAACCCTCGAACCTCCATACATGCATCGCAAACATTAGAAGCTCGAAACCTAGTCAGCCCCTTCTTTGGCTGGGTTTAAGTTCGATGCTTAGTCCTGCCAAATGGTACTGTAGCGTTCTCTCTTCAGTAGTGTCCCACTACAGATAACCGATTAGGATAAGGGGTCTCTCCTGCATTTTGAACAATCCAGATGCACACGGAACTGCAGGTCTCTTTCAATTTTTCTAGCATCAAGTCGCACGGGGCATCCCTGACAACTGACTGACTTGCTGGTTCTCAGGGCAGAGGATAACCCTGAACTGAACCATCCCTTGTTTTCGTGTTTCATGTAAATGGGGTCCATTCCGCTTAGTTCCCCAAACCTGGTGCTCGTCCTGATTCCAGAAGAACCAGCAAGCCCTGAATCTTTAAGAACCAAGCTGAGAAAGCTGAGAACCAAGCCGAGAACCAAGCCAAAAACCAAACCTATAGTTCCACAACAACCAACCCCTGAAACTGTCAAAGAGCTGAGAACCAGACTTTCAGTTTCTGGTTTCATGTAAATGGCATCGTCTTCCGGTCCCTTCTGGTTCTCATCCTAATTCCATGAGAGCAACGCCAAGCTGAGATCCAAGCCTATAGTTCCACAACAACCAAATCCTGAAGCTTTTACAGCACTGAGAAAACCAAGCTGAAAACCATAGTTTCATTTTCAAAAATCGCGCCAAGCTGAGAACCAAGCTGAGAACCAAGCCTGTAGTTTGATTGACCTTATCCGGAAATCGAAGCCTATAGTTCCACAACAACCAAATCCTGAAGCTTTTACAGCACTGAGAAAACCAAGCTGAAAACCATAGTTTCATTTTCAAAAATCGCGCCAAGCTGAGAACCAAGCTGAGAACCAAGCCTGTAGTTTGATTGACCTTATCCGGAAATCGAAGCCTATAGTTCCACAACAACCAAATCCTGAAGCTTTTACAGCACTGAGAAAACCAAGCTGAAAACCATAGTTTCATTTTCAAAAATCGCGCCAAGCTGAGAACCAAGCTGAGAACCAAGCCTGTAGTTTGATTGACCTTATCCGGAAATCGGCCCTTGTTCCACAACAATTAAATCCTGAAGCTTTTACAGCACTGAGAAAACCAAGCTGAAAACCATAGTTTCATTTTCAAAAATCGCTACTTGCTGAGAACCAAGCTGAGAACCAAGCCTGTAGTTTGATTTCGACCTTATCCGGAAATCGGCTTCCATAGTTCCACAACAACCAAATCCTGAAGCTTTTACAGCACTGAGAAAACCAAGCTGAAAACCACATAGTTTCATTTTCAAAAATCGCGCCAAGCTGAGAACCAAGCTGAGAACCAAGCCTGTAGTTTGATTGACCTTATCCGGAAATCCAAGCCTCTAGTTCCACAACAACCAAATCCTGAAGCTTTTACAGCACTGAGAAAACCAAGCTGAAAAACATAGTTTCATTTTCAAAAATCGCGCCAAGCTGAGAACCAAGCTGAGAACCAAGCCTGTAG